GATGAGCCGCATTAGCATCCCTATAAAGTAAGACAGTCCGTGCGTGACCCATGACATACGATATTTTATGATTTCATTGGCTATTTTCTAGCAAAATCCAGACTATACCTACCGGTATATCAATTAACGTGTCTGAAGACGAATTTGTGTAAAATATGTTTGTTTCATTTTAATCTCTGAAATTTTAAATAAACTGAACTCTGGAACAGATCTTTTCGGGACGTCGGATTGGGCTTATATTTTTGTGTGAATTCGGTATTTACATTTATTGGGACTTGGGAATCAATGATTTATTTTTCGGTATCCAGCATAAAATGCTTTTTTTTCGGGATTTCGGTATTCAGCGTTTGTTTTCCCCCCCGGAAATTCGGGATGACATCCCTCCTACCCCCCTCTCTCTCTTAAGTAAGCAATGTTGAGGAAAAAGGAAAATCATCCTGTATGAGAATTTGAATTTGTTAAATATTTGCATTTCTTATAAAATCACATAACCTGCAGATTTTTTGCATTTTTTTATGAGGAATGACTACAAAATAGGGGTGTATACGACTACCCAAACTTAATCTACAATTCATGTTCGTTACTCAACACTTTTAATTCGTCTTATGGGAGAGGAATTTGTAAAAGTGAAAATTCACTTGTTTTCCAATCCCAATAAAATTGTCATTTTGTAATGTTTACGTTATTATTATTTTCAAAATAAAATATTGTTTACACGAACACTTTTAATACTGAAACAATAGAGATATCAATATTTTTTTCTTCAAATATCAAATACTGGTTCCCAACTAAATGTCTAAATATATCTGGAATATTTTCCCTCATATTGACTGCTATCTGAAGTCAGTTCATAGTATCCTAGGATCCTGGCCCACTGCTCGACAGTAGGAGAAGTATTAGATTGTGTCAGGACGCCAGGCTAAGTTCATACAACCTCAGTTTAATATAGGCGTGGCAATCCATCACATTTATTCAATCAATTGTCCTTTATGATAAAGATTGGCGTACGATTGTAGTCGAAACAATGTAATTTATATAATGACTTTGTAATAATTTCAGGACACAGTTACATTAATATCAAAAGGTTAATATCAAAAGGTAATGTACTTTATTGTGGTAGCTGTGGACTACTAGTTCAAAATAAAATTGATTTCGACAAGTTGCTTTGTAACCACTGTCATGATGTTGGGTGTATCTAAAATATGCAGCTGGAATGACCCCAAAACCATTTCTTACATGCAATATAAAATAAATTTCAAATTGAATATCAATGTTATTTTTTATGTTATCATGAGGCGACAGTTTGAACTGTCTTCTCATCATTTCCAGATTAAATTTTTTATGGTGCACTTGTACATTTAATAATCCAAGTAAATAGCTATCCGCCCTTTGATTTATCAGAATAAAAGGCACAATACGCGTTGTTATAAGTTCATGTAAATCCTCAGTGAATAAGTTTAGTACAGAAATAATTGATATTAAAGTAGCGACATTTATCCAATGAAATCAATGAGATAAAATAGACGATAACCAGTTTCTGATTGAAGACCAAATTGCAAGTGACAAACGTATTTGTGTAATGTTAACATCGTCAAGTAAAACGGACACTTTGTAACACCGTATCATCCTGATCTTAATTTCAAGTTATCTCTCCGAATTACATTCAAAGTATGCCTATTCTTATTTCTAATGCAAGCCATGCGATGTAAGGTTACATCTAGTAAGCAAGGGATCAGAAAGTGTCTTTAATCATGTTGAAAGCTAGACAGACAAAAATATTTCAAGATACCTAAGGTGATAAGAACCGTCAATCAGAAAGAGACGACTGCAACATAATTCGAAAAAGGCAATAACTATATACCAATGAATAGCTTAAACATAACACATACCGAAACAAGGAAAACCCCTGAAAATTCTAAATATTAGGACTAAATGTATTTGTCTTAGGGAGCTACCATTTGATTTTTATGGGGGGCTAGGATGAAAAATTTTGTCCTGCCTTTTTATTTTTCCCTCTATTCGGTCTTATTTGAAATAGTTGATATTTTCTATCGAAGTCTAACTTATACTTCCGTTATAAGACTTGTATTTTGTGGCATTGGGTCGATTACACAGATTGATAGGGTTGAGCATCTCTATTTTTTTAAATTTTTGAACATGTATCATAATTCATTTTGCTTGTACACTCTTAAACAGAAACATTAATGCCTTTTTTATATTCTGAACTGTGATCTGAATTTTAATAATTGATATTTTCCTTCAGCACTCAATTTTTGTCAAAGCTGCTAGTTGTATTCAATCATTATAATATTATTTTGTTAGTATTGATGATTTTGTTATTTATTAAACTGTTATTTACAGTTATCGGCTTTTCCTGTACTGGTTTTATTGTATATTATTGTGGGCACTTTTTGTTAGTCTATAGATCGAGATTAGAATGGGGAGGATTTAGATCTCAAAATTTTGTTTTACCCTGCCATATGTTTATATGCCTGTCCAAAGTCTGAAACTTCGTCTGTTGTTGTTTCATGTCATCTCTTAATGTGTTTGGATATTTTGGTGTGTAAGATGACAAATCTATGACAGTTTTTGTTAATTCATTCATGTTTGTTCAGACTCAATGCGATAGTAGATGTAACAGCTTGGCATATTATAAAGACGTCACTCTGTCTAAAATTGTTGAAAAGTATATGTTAGCCTCTAAATGTCTTTTGGTTATTTGCATATCATTGACGTATGCACACATCTCATTCTATTCATTCTAATAACATCTATATAACATCATAGGATGAAACAATTTATATTGTAAACTGTCAAGTATTACATCAGAGTTTAGTCTGCCAGTATGTACGTTCGCTGCATAAACATGTATTTAACTCGACCAAGACGACTCAGTGCCAATGTTTGGAAATTTATATGTACAGATCATACAATGTACGGCCATAAACTGTCTATGGTCAACTGGATATCGAAGTTGCATCTTTATTTTTTGTAAAAATTGCAATTGTTATTGGCTGAGATAATGAAATCAATAAATCCGAAATATTGACTACGTAGGGATAAACATTCCAACATCAGTGGTACGTGTATCGACTCACTGGAAGTAGATTAAATCTCACAATTTCTGTCTGGTGTCAGGCTGTATTTTGTTTTTTTTATCATGTTGTTGTCCGTCTTTCTTCGACTCTTTGTGAGTTTTGGATGACCCTAGATATCATCTCTGTCTTTAAAAGCATTTCTATTGTTGTTGAACTTCTCTTTCGGGGCTATAGTCTCATTGACATTTACCTTACATGATATTTTAAATTTGAATATTGCAAGTAACGATACAAACTTTAAAGGTACCATATAGGTATGGCCTTTACTTGTACATTTAAACCATTTGCATCGAGTGCAGAAGACAGAAGGTGTTCCAGAAACACAAACTCAGTATCATACATTTAGAGGTATTCCCGTTACAGTGTGGACATCCGTAGTACTTTTGTTGTTTATAATATTGAATCATTTACCTTTAACTTGTTTGTCGTCGGCTATCGATAACAATGCTTTTGCGCTCACGCAGTCTGACAGAGGCCCTCCAGTGGGGATTTAGATAAACACTTGTTACACATTTCGATACATAAAATGAAATTGTTGATCAAAACATAAAAAAACGCAAGTAAAGAACGTTTAAGTATTCAATATTAATCAAAACACAAAGGTTGTTCCTGTACTAGTATTTCGAATTATTTTAGTCAGGCGTTGAGAACCTTAAGTGACCCCACAGTTTAAATGTCTATAATAAATACGACATGATAAGTGGGCGTTACAGACGAACGTTCACTTAATTTAACCCAGTCAATGGGAGACTTGAGCGCGCCAAAAAATGGTCTCGTCCACACTGTTATGAAAACGATACTATTTATAATGTGTTAATTTGTATACCAAACTTTTGCCTCCAACAACTAAAATTCTTTAAATCTAAATTTCAAAGTTTTCAGATAAAAAAAAAGAAGAAGAAAACAAAATGAAAAAATATCATGCAAGATTTCAGACATTAAATTTCAAATATTTTTTTTCGAGCTCTGTTTCAGTTTATCATCCCTACGTCATTTCCTTCCATAATAAAAAAAAAGTCGACAAATGCAGACGTAACGAATGAGAATGAGAATGTCAGAATGTTTGATATATTCTTCCCATGTACTTTATTTCTGCTAAATACATTCATGAATAGAATTAGCATTCATGTTACACTTGGATTGAAAATCAAAAATCTCGTCAGTTTTGACATTAAAAGCAGCGTGGGAGGAGAAGTTCAAGTAAAATTTCCAGTATCCTGATATTTTTTAACCCTAAGTTCATTCATTTAATAAAAGTGTTATGAACTGCCTGTTTCTGTATTTTCCTAACTATTTTCTTTAATGAAGTTGGTTAATAAAAGTATCAATATATGGCCTTTTCCACATTGGCCCTGTAACATGCCCTTGGTATTTCAATAATGTCCTCGGAAGGCTGCAATGGCCCTCGGCGTTGCCTCAAGCCATTACAACAATCCTTGGTCATTATTAATACCTCGGGCATGTTACAGGGCCAATATAGAAAAGGCCATACATTAATACTATAGTATTTTCAAGTAAATTGTACAGTACATTACGTTGTTCAGAAACTGTTCAATCAAAAGCTAATGCTGATTAACAGTAAACTCGTCAGTGCCGTTGATAGATGCACTTTATGTACTAAATGTATATTAATAAAGGTAATATGAGTTCTTTGTTAGTCATCATTTTACTTGTCGTGTGACCAAGTTAGAATTTGATGTTAAAAGGGGGTTGTAATGATGTCCCTGTCTGTCCCATGAATCCCCCTAGTTTCAATATATTTATATAAATATAGTAAGACATAAATGTCATCTTGAAAATTATAGAAAGTTTCTTATTTTTGTTTTCAACTGAATGTTTGTATACACTACACGCTTTTTGTTTTAAATCTTGCAATAATAATAAATTAAATCTTTGTTTCAGGTGCAATGAGTCTACAGTTAGCATGTGTTGTCTTACTGTTGTCTACAGAAACAATGGGGGTAAGCTATGGATATCTTTGTTTTATACAGTATCAATATTAAACTATTCGTTCAGTCAATATAAGTACACTAAACTTGTAGAAGGCCATTCGCCGTTGAATGAACGCACACCAGTGAATATTGATATATTGATAAGTGGGAAATTATTTCCTGAGAATCGATAAAAAATGTCCAAAGAAAGATAACTCATCAGTGAACAGAAATAACTGGCGATAAAGGTCTCAAAATTAATTAAGATGTACACGTTAAGCCTAGTGGTGGACCATGATGGGTGAATGATTGGGATTGCCACGTTTTGTGCATGCATATTTAGACAAAAAGGAAAAAGAACATTATGTTGTACTCTATTCCTGTTCATGCCATTTTGGTTTCAAAAATTATTTCATAGGTCACTTTCAATAAAGTCTGTATATTAATATCAAGGAACACGCACTTGTCACATTGTTCTAAGATTAAAAATGAATTGCAGCTATATTAACAAACATCTGCATTACAGGGAGTTAATAGTCCTCAAATTGCGTCTGCTTTGAAAAAGAATCAACGGAAAATATTGTGTTGAAAAGTCAAGGACTTGGTGTCTTTCTTCACAGACACAAATAATGTTTCCAATAAGAATTCCCACGTATATATTTTCGACTACCACTGACTATATACAAAAGATTGCATTTTATTTCTATGTAAATCTGTGAAACACTTTTTTATGATAGCAATAGTAATCATATAATAACCTTACTATACTGTATAATGTACTTCATCATCTTATATTTTCACATTTTTTTTTTTGGCTTACCAGTATGGAAACAAAATTTAATAATTTTGACTTGACGTTAGCGAAATTGGTTTTTATAAGAGTCCTGTTCTAATTTGCTTATCCCAGATTTGAATTGTTATGCAATTTGTGCTTTGTATAAATCCTTGTGCATGACGAATTTATATTAAAATGTTTACACTTAGGTTTCCATCATGTATTGGCTTTCTGAATTACGTCGTACACATAAACCCGTATAAATTTCGATTATATCGTTTCATTAATGATCAATGAAACGTAATTAAGCTCTAAGTCTAAGACGGAATGAGTGAGAAACTATGCTTTCTTGTTGAAATATCTTCATGGTTGGAAGTTGCATTGTTTATCTGATTTCAATATTATGTTTGTTCTTATTATCAAAATTTTGGCACGAATTGACACGTTGTTCTTGTAGTATAAACCCCAAACTAGTGTTGTATATGTAGGAACGTATTAAGATTTTATCTTTCTGGAAAAAAATACCCTAATCTCATTGTTAGCTGTACAAATATACCATTTGAAAATGATGGCGTTAATGTTTATGGATCGGTGACTATTGCAATATAATTCTACCCACACAGAAAGATGTAGGGCCAAATTTCCCCAAAATTATATTACATATGAAGATTATTTCTCGAAAGTATTTCCATCGTTACTTAAACTCCGAATCACAGTATCATGTTACCAATTTATAATTGGCCAATGGTTCAATTCTGCAATTTTGATCGACTTGGGCAAAGTTTGAGTGATCATTCGGAAAGTGTTAGAGGAAGGACATTATTAACAAAAACCCAAAATACTCCTGTACGTGATTATATATTATGTCTTTCATATAAATTTGACTAAATTAGATCAAAGATGTCCTTCGATGCCATTTTGACAAAAACGTGTATAATTTGCTATGTAGTCTTTGACAGCAATATGTAGCACTTAAAAGCATTTTTAAGTATGTAAAATTGCAGAAAATTTTATTGAGTATATTGTGTATACCTTTTAACATTCGAACTCCATAGGATTCTAACACTTCATTTATTTTACCATGTAAATGATACATATACATGAGAAATTGGTCATACCTCTTTTAGCGACACAGCCTTTCGATAAATTTGGATATCAGTACATATTTATTTTTAACAACATTTAACCCAAAAAGTATACCCGGATAAAGAATGTTGTCAAGTTAATTGGAATGGGATACATTTCTCTTTGCTATTCCTAACTGCTATTACTACATGAGGAAACTAATGCAAGGACCAGCTTGTTTAAAATCTGTTCCTTTTGATAATCAGATATAGATTTTTTTTCTTCTAAATATCCCTTTTCTTCTGGATCATGATATACTTTAAATGAATCAAATATAAACGGTTGCTGGTATCCTATTTGGGGACATGAAATTCATCGTTCTCATTTAATAACAAACAGGTCTAATTTCTCATCCCTTTTGTTAACTTCTCTTTCCTTGAGGTTGATGTTTCGCTTGCTTCCTTCTTATTTGGCAGTTGGGTAACTATGCACATTTTTCAGTTGCGTCTTATTACGAACTATGGAATCTAGGAGTTTTGTCAAAATAATATTCATAAATTTTACTAGATTTAGAAATTGTTATGGAAGTATGAATCCAGCTTTAGGCCTTGTATGATTTCAGAGTAAGTAATTTATGGTGATGTCATTAAAAGAAAACCAATGTAAGATTGTCATTTGAATCTTTTTATGATTGGCTAGATAAATCTAAATTGATAATGTTTACATGTAGTTGTATTAAAATAGTTCTGTATACGAAGGGATTGGTGGTTTTTGGTAGGGGGTCACATAGCCACAAAATAAACTTCCACTTGTTCATGCGTTGTTTTTTTGTTTATTTGGAATTTGATGTTTATGTCTAAATATTTGGTCTCATCTGTTGAATGCATTCACAAGTCAATTCATGTCGATTTAAAGGTTGTCATACGGTCTGAGTCAGTGGCAATCGTTGGAATATACTTTTTCGGTTTTTATACATCAATGGCTTTAAAATATTCCGTTAGAGCGTACCTGATGAAAGTAAACCTAGAAAAGTGCTTCGGACGCATAAAAGTTATAAAATGTTGTTTTCGGTTTGTTTTTTTTTTAGACCAAAGTATTATATATTTAGTGTCCTTTTTTCTGAATTGATTAACCTATGTTTTTGCAATGCTGTTTATTTACCTTTACCCAATATCTACCTTAGTCATACATTGTTGATATCTACCTTAGTCATACATTGTTGATATCTACCTTAGTCATACATTGTTGATATCTACCTTAGTCATACATTGTTGATATCTACCTTAGTCATACATTGTTGATATCTACCTTAGTCATACATTGTTGATATCTACCTTAGTCATACATTGTTGATATCTACCTTAGTCATACATTGTTGATATCTACCTTAGTCATACATTGTTGAATTTACGTTTTCAATAAAATCAACAATACATTTATATAAATTTCTATCTGTCTGCAATTATAACAATGTATTTAGATATGTTTTAACGCTGAAGAATCGCCGTATTCTAAAATTGCATAGTTTAAAAAGGATTATTATATAAGGTTGGTATGACGTTTACGTTTACAAATTCTCTTATTCGATATTTAGTTCTATTGAAATGCCTACATATATTTAGAAGATTACTGAAGCAGCGCCCTCGTATAGTTTCAAATATTAAAAAACTCAAAGTGACATTGCAAAAACAAGACAACTGTCCAACGACCAGAACGGATTTACAATATAACACAAAACAATCATGACAATAAACATTTCAATTAACGACATACAAAGTGAATCGGATGAAATTCATGAGTCATATCATGTGCTACAGAAGTACTATCATAGTCTACTGAGTATAATATTGCCGTCATTAATGTCAGTAGTCATTGAACTCCGATAAGCATTAAGGAAGACTCCAACCGTATATTGAATATGCATAATAAATGTAGAACTACCATTTCTAATAATGAATCTATCGGAATATTTCTTTTGATACTATAGTATATATTTGACACAAGAATACTTCTAAAATTAGTGAAACAACACATGTACTTTATGCCGCTATGGCTGATTACAAACTACTTCCCTAATGCCGTCCGGCTTTTATTTTGCTATTGAAATGTTTTTGAAATTTGGATTTCAAATTCCACACTTTGTCGAGTAAATTAAGGTGAAATCTATAAAATTCATTAGTTCGAATATCAAAGATCATGTTGCAACTGCGATACGAACTACGCTCTTATGGCAAAGTTTCCTTGCAATGCATTTATATTTCCAAAGAACATATTCAAGCTAACGTGCGTGATTTTTTTTAATCCATGATGATTACAAATTACATACAAAGAATGTTCTTCTTTACAATTGACAATGTTGCATTTCGATGATTTATAAAAAAAAAATTAGATATATTAGCATTTCTTTTGTATATTAGATATACAGTAGAGGGAAATCATATTGCCTAAAAATTTTAGGTATTTAAATCTACTATAGGATTAAACGCCTTTTTAAAGGAATGTATTGGTGAATAAACTCGACCAATTCACTCACAAACAAATAAAAGTCCGAAGGACTTTTATGATATGTTTGTGAGTGACTTGGTACAGTTTATACACCAATAAATTCCTTTAATAAGGCGTTTAATCCTATAATTCTTTAAGATTGGAGATAAGGAATTTATTTTTCCACACTCGCAACCTCTATCACACATAAATTGTATACTTGTGTCGATCATTGAATAGACCTGGCGCATGAATATATTTGTTGGTTAACGCAAAAATATATGCTCCATGAAATTTGCAATCTGATAAAAAATAAACTACAAAAACTCTTATTATCATTCAAACTAATATTTTATGTTTATTATTTAATTTAACTATTAAGACCTATTAACGCGAATTGAAAATAAATTTTGTTAACGTCGATCCGGATTGTGTCATTATCGCCGCCATCTTGTTTACTTTGTTTACGAAAAGAAGTTCGGTCAACGTCGTCTATCGAAAAATAAACAACGTCAAGAACAACTACCGAAAGTCATCTCAACCAATCATATCAACTAGTGGCGGATCCAGAACTTTTCATAAGTGGGGGCCCGCTGACTTACCTAAAGGGGGGGGGGGGGGCCCGCTCCAGTCATGCTTCAGTGATTCCCTTTATAATCAACCAAATTTTTCCCACGAAAGGGGGGGCCCGGGCCCCCCAGGCCCCCCCCTGGATCCGCCTATGTCAACGTATTCTCTAATATGCAAATCATATAAGAATTATTGTAACATATGCTAAGTAAATCAATATAAAAAGCCATACCACATGGTCGGCTATAAAAGGCCCCGAAATGACGAATTTAAAACAATTAAAACGAGAATGGTAACGGCCTGATTTATGTAAAATCAATGAGCGAAATACATATAGGATATACAGAAACAAATGACAACTACTGAAGTACAGGCTCCTGACTTGGGATCGATACAAAGCAGAAAAAAGTAACAAAAACACAGACCGGACGTAGCAGGGTATTTATACATCCCTACAACAAAAAAGACACAAAGTACAGATGTAAGAGTACTCGTAGTTACTGACAACTAGTTCAAAGCCAATAAAAACTAATAAAAAAATCATGTATCTAAGACTAAAGTATCAATCAGCACACATCCAACATCCAATGGATTTAGTGTCAAGACGTCATTAACAGTCGGAGAAAAATATGACCTTGTGCAATGCCAAAAATACAGGTATCGACAGATCAAAGAACCGTGAATGTGCATATGCATATTTATCATATATTTAGTAGTAAATACAGTAGTTTTGAATATTTGATAAATAGCCTGCTGTTTAATCCGTATCGCTCAACTTTGATGTGCACCCTTTATCACACCCCATTATCATACCCCTACCCTTGAAGTCCATGTTTTAATTAATGCAAGCTTCTCAAGAAATATTTTTCCTCAATACGTCATTTCTGGAATCATGTCTTTCACCGGAAAAGATCGCCAATTTCGCACGCCTTTATGACGTCATTTACCAGATAGAACGCGCTTGTATCCCTGTTCTATTAAAAGTTTCCAGCACTTTTAGAATCGTCATTTTGTAGGGTAGTATAAAAATAATTTATGTTCTGTAAGTACATACTCTTGATTCCGGTACGACTTAGGGAGGGTGACCATCTTATTAGATTTTAATTTCCCAAATATTTCGCGCAGCATAAAATCAATCTTTCACCCGTTTGCTCAACATGTGTTGGAAGTGCCGATGCTAAGCTTGTCCTCGACTGACGACTATACTTTGTTCATAGACAGCCGGTACGGCCCAATGTGGGAGGCAGAATTTTGCCCTCGGGATTTTAACGAGATTTGACGTTTCGTTGTTACATGGCAACGCATCGGTGAAAATGGCGCCATTGAACATTCAGCTCTCATTGTGACGTAATAACATAAGCATTGTGACATTTAAAAAAATCGGAAAATGCACGAATGTGAAAGTTATGTATTTCTCCATGTTAAGTACGAGTAATTTGATTGGACGAATATGTAATGGTATGTATTCTTCACCGCTAATATAGGAGATTGAAAACAAGTCTCTTGACTAATCAGATTCTACAATAGATCGGCTCTGACCGGCTGTCTAAGAACAAAGTGTAGTAGTCAGTCGAGGACCAGCTTATGACGATGCCTCCATTTTGGTCATGTGGTGATGGAAGTCACATGACAGATTCAACTAAAAAACGTATCCCGGAACTGCAGTATGGGTCCTACATGAAACGGTCATTAGGGCAATTGTTTGGCATGTGACGTCACAGACGTTGAGCTTTCATATTTTCTGGCACACGAAATGCAACTATAAAAAAGAACTCAATGAAATACCATACAAAACATAAAAAAATACAATAAACAAAATATTTCTATGAAGAACAGGACGCAAATTGTAAGGTAACCCAGATGCTTCGGATGAATAATTAAGCAGTTCTTTTAAAGCTTTTAAAACAAAACAAAAGTAAATCTGAAGGTAACCCAGGTTCCTAGGGATCAGAAAGCAGTTCATATATACTCTCCTGTTTAAATATATGATAAAGCGTATAAAACATGGCAAAATCCGTGTCACATGCCGTATCACCCTCGACCAATATCATCCCTCGGGCTGATATTGGTATCTCGGGATGATACGGCATATGATACGGATTTTGCCATGTATTATTCTCTATGTATATAACAATAACATTAGTTTGGTTTTAATTTACTGATAACAAATTCAATATTTATACCAATAAAACGATATTCAAAGATCTAATTACAGTGTTGAATTGGTAAGGAAAATTAACAATAGAGAAAGAAACATCGTCTCTTTTGACGTAAATCTTAGTGTAGAGTTTCCCGTGTAAAACTGAAATATCTAAATCTAGGAAAAGACAGTGTTTACCGTTTACATTTGATTTATTTAAAGTAAGTTCCTTTCAGGAAATTGCGGCAGTATATTTAGAAATTCTTGATTATTTAACGACAAAATATCATCATGAAATTATCAATTAAATGTAATCTAGATGGGTCTTTACTGAGTTTGATCATTAAACTGTGATTCACAACAGTGCAAGATCAAGTCTACTACTAAAGGGACACAATTGGTGCCCATAGGAACACCTACAACCTGTCGATATAACCTTTTTTGTTCTTAGCCTTGAATATTTGACACAATGCTTTGCATCCAAAATTGCCTAATATTTGTACGTCTATATAATTTTCCGATTGAATCATTTCTGTGGAAGATATCCACTTTGAGAACATTGAACGTATGGTAGGATACATTTTCTGGAAAAAAAATATGTTTGTCAAACGGTATACTGCTGTTGTGTAAGAGGCAATTGTTCTACGCAAAAGTAGCTCACTTCCATTGGATTCATGTATGCATAAATAATTAAAATGTCAAAATACCGATTGTTGGAGCAAAATCTTATACATGTATAACAAACTTAATGAATTCAAGTTAACTTTATCAGAATAACTTATATCGAGAAAGTTTGATATCCTAACGTGTACAATGCATTGTACAGGATCGTAGTATTCTGAACTGTTCACAAAAAAGGTGTGGCTGTCAATATTAAAATGTTTCAATGTTATCAGATTAAGAGCTTTGTTATGGTTGCAGGCATGTAATTGACTGTTCCATAGGCTTACATGCAAAACAGCTGATCTTTTTTTTTTAAAATAAAATGATACATAGACAAACAATTTCATGTGCATATCAACAAGTGCCTCATACAATGAAGAATAAAACGTTATGAAGCCTTGAAGTCAACACTACTTTTAACTACTTGCTGTTTGCTGTTTTATACCACGCAGTGATGTCCAGTTGAAATTAAACAAAAGAAACGGAAAAAAAATAAAACCGGTACGACAAGTACCTACTAAAAACGGCCGTGTGTATGTGTTTAGTTAACTGGAGGGATACGATGACAACATTTTGTAAAATAGTAAGACTGATTAAACTATCTCTTACATTCTAAGGTTGTTTTCACACACACACGCATACGCACACATATGTATATTTTTAATTGCATTTGAATATTTATAATAGAAAAATAAATATATATGTGAATAAAATGTTTTATATATATAGGTTATAGTAGACATTACATTGAATGAACAAAATAGAGGCATTGCCGAAGCTGATCAAAGTTGCCAGGGACTTATAGAAAATGAAGGAAATCACAAAAACGGTAAAATAGCATTACTTTATTTAAGGAGAGAGAGAGAGAGAGAGAGAGAGAGAGAGAGAGAGAGAGAGAGAGAGAGAGAGAGAGAGAGGTTAACACGTTTCTATCGATGTTTTATCATTTTATCACAGAGTTCTTATAAAAGAATCGAGTTCCACAATCATCGAGTATATGTCAAAATACTTGAAAAAGAGCTAACCATGAAATGAATAGTCCATGGAATATTCGGGAACATGTCAAGAACGCTGTAATAATCAAAATGGAATGTCAACAGTATGACTGATCATAGGACGGATTTGAGAACCAAAACCGTTTTGGCAGGGTTATAATAAATCAAAAATATTAGATGTTATATCATTTCATGGTGAACTGACACTATTTCGTATAAAAATTATTTCAATCTACGAGCACTTGGAAAAGCAGTCGAATGTACGTAAAGGTTTTAATACGACCGCAAAAAATTTTTGCGGTCGTATATTGGTATGACGTTGGCGTCGTCGTCGTCGTTGTAGTCGTCGTCGTCGTCGTCCGAAGACACATTGGTTTTCGCACTCTAACTTTAGTTTAAGTGAATGGATCTCTATGAAATTTTACCAAAAGGTTCAATACCACAAAAGAAAGGTTGGAATTGATTTTGGGGGTTATGGTACCAACAGTTAAGGAATTAGGGGCCAAAAATAAGTATTTTTGTAACTTCCAGACATAACTTGTGTGTTAGTGTATGGATCTCTCTGACATTGTACCACAAGGTTCCATATCACACAGGGAATGCTGGGATTGATTTTGGGGGTAATAGCTTTAAAATATTAGGAATTAGGGGCCATAAAAAGGGGCAAAGAACAAGCATTTTTCTAGTTTCATGACAATAACTTGTGTGTAAGTGTATGGATCTTTCTGAAATTGTACTACAAGGTTTTATATCACAAAGGAAAAGCTGGAATTGAGTTTGGGGGTAATTGACTAAAACGTTTCGAAATAAGGGGCCAAAAAGGGGCCAAAAATAAGCATTTTTCTAGTTTCCAGACAATAACTTGTGTTCAAGTGTATGGATCTCTCTGAAATTGTACTGCAAGGTACCATACCACAAAGGGAAGACTGGGATTGATTTTGGGGGTAATTGCTTCAAAATTTTAGGAAATTAGGGGCCAAAAAAGGGGCAAAAATCAAATTTTTCTAGTTTCAGGACAATAACTTGTGTGTAAGTGTATGGATCTTTCTGAAATTGTACTACAAGGTTCCATATCACAAAGGGAAAGCTGGGTTTGAGTTTGAGGGTAAGTGCCTTAAACGTTTAGGAATTTGGGGCCAAAAAGGGGCAAAAAAACAAGCATTTTTCTAGTTTCCAGACAATAACTTGTGTTCAAGTGTATGAATCTCTCTGAATTTGTACTGCAGGTACCATATCACAAAGGGAAGGCTGGGATTGAGTTTGGGGGTGATGAATCATAAGGGGGATAAAAAAATTGGGGGGGGGGGGGATTTTTTTTTCTTTAAAATTTTCCATTTTAAATTGGTTATTTCTGATTTATATATAAAAGCAAATAATAATGATATGGTTTGAAAAGGTAAATTAAAAATTCTTAAGTTATTAGACCACATTCATTCTGTGTCAGAAACCTGTGCTGTGTCAAATGTTTAATCACAATCCAAATTCAGTGCTGTATCAAGCTTGAATGTTGTGTCCATACTTGCCCCAACTGTTCAGGGTTCGACCTCTGCGGTCGTATCAAGCTGCGCCCAGCGGAGCATTTTATTTCTTTATTTTGCGATAAATATTGTATCGATAAGTTTTCAGATTTCTTTAGATACATTTAAAGGGGCATTAGCTGTCAAATTCATATTCACCGATTTGACTTAAATTCTCATACTTGATTTATAACATACTAAAATGTATATCCAAATTACAATAAGTCTGAACGAAACAGTTAACAATGCATGTACTAAATAATATATATCAGCATTTCATGTGTATTTTAGTCTAGACGCCATCTAATTAACTATCGAAATGACCCCCGAAGACTGACGACGGTCACAAAACCAGATATAAACATAAACATAAATAGAAATAGATAGCAATTGTACTTTTCTAGGTCTGTTTGATTTCATGCTATAGGTTAAAAAAATGAGTTAATCATCGTTTTTACCTGTATACGAATGATGTTTTTGTGGATCGAATCAGTCAACGAAATGGTTCACATTTGTTTCACTTTCAATGTGGACATTCTTTTCCTTTTAAAGGCTAATAATGCTTAACCAATCTCTAGCAAATGGGTTAAATTGAAGGTCACATGAATACGGATTCAAAGAGGTCGAATTAGTCACTTGCAACTGAATAATTCATCAGCGATTTTTCTTTGCTTATTTTGACAAAATTGAATCAAATTGGCTGCTTAAAGCGAATTATTATTTCATTATTTCACTTGTATTAATGATTGCACCAAACAAAATCATATTCTAATTTTTTTTCATATCTCGTACAGTAGCTTATGCCCCTTTAAACTACTTATTTGATATGAATTCTATACTTTTAATATATTATTTGGAATGCATCATTCGAATACTGATGTTAGCACAGTCCTTCTTATACATATACCAGAAGTTAGTCGAGCTTTCTATATGCGAAAAGAGCTACAATGATAAGCTAGTTTTATGATATGTTTGCCAAAGAACGCATACAAATAAATACTTTTCACAAAGATTGGACCACACCAACCTTATAAGTCAACAATTGAATTTTGGTCATCTAAACAACTTTACATTTAAGTGTACAAATATAAAGTTCTTTTGGTTATTACCACAAAGTAAGAATTTACCAAATGGACAAATATTTGTTTTAATTAGTGGAGGAAGGACGGACTACTAAATGGACAAACAAAAACAAAATAACGAAAAGACAAACAGCAATCTAAAAAAACCTATATATAAAACAAAATCATAAGTCGTTGAGGACAGACAGTACAAAAATCTCACCAATCAGGGAATTGACCTGAGGTGTCCTGGAAAGGTTGGCAGTATCTTCTCTATAAGGAGCAACTGTTGTGTTAACTTATTAAAATTAAATTTGGCATGGTATTTGGTACCAAGCTTTATACCAAACAGAATCATAAGCGTTTCTTGTCTATCCTAAGAATTTCCACATTCATTAAACATTGATACACGTGAATTATCCAACTTGTAAGTAAACTTAACAAAAAAAAAGATGGAAGTTTTGAAATGAAAATACGAAGTTTTATTCAGGTTAGAGGATAGACAACACAGACGTAACTGAAAAAATATAATATTACAAAAATATCCGGAACTTTATTTCTACTCCATTTTTTATAGAACGATGACGAACGTAATTATATTATCTTTTCCGATGATATTTGCTAATGGTTTCAAATTCTAGGCAAATTGGAAATATTCGAGTATATATCAGAAGTTATAGGAAGCATTTCGGATGGAAGTAGTCATCATTACAAGAATTATGATTACATATAAATATATCTAATCTATCAGAGAAAGTTACAGTTAAGGATAGTTGTGACTGAAATTCAAAATAGCAAAATATTTTGTGTATTACTTCCTTTTTTAATAGATAATGTTTATGACACAAAAAGTGTGGAAAAACAGTCCGTGTGCTTGATTTTGAGATACAATTATTTGAAAAATAAGAATTGTTGTGGGGAAAAGATGATTTTGAAATTTTCAAAGAAATATATGGGTAAAAATGAATGTGTAATTGTATAAAAAATATAGTAGAAGTAAAACGTATTTCAAATTATTTCGAAGAAAGTTTATTTGAATTGAAATATAGAGATTACTAGAGGAATAATAAAATATTAAGTAGAACATATCAAGTGGAATCTTTGCAGTCAGTATTGTACATGATATACTTTCTTCATTTTTCTCCAAAAGAATGTTTCTTTTGCGTAATCACTAAATAAAATCTTCATTGTTTCCATTTTCAAATATATTCGGTCCCAATTACCATTTACAATCATTTGTTAAAAAGGCAGACAAAGATGTACCTACAAAAATTGATAATTACATAAACGGTACCAGTTTTTTCTGCACCAGATAAGCCAGTAGTGGTACACAGGACGCATTATTGTATACCGTTGTCAGTCTTTTTATCAGTCCGTTTGTACGCCCATCGACACACCGTAAAATAATCAGAGAATGCGTTTATTAATTTCATGAAACTTGTATGGAATATTTGAATCGTTAGAAGAAAGTCGCCGTTTCATTTCGAATTTTTACCGTTATATTTAAGGCATTTTTTAATGGACCATTTTTGGATGTCTAAATGATAAATCTATATATTTTTTCCGATATTCAGATGCAGTTCAGCGTGGTCTAAAGGCATATTTTATTTCATCTCAATCCAAAATATCGTCAAATAACGTATACAGTGCCTTAACTCGTGTACTAGAAACTTTGCTCTGTTGGTTCATAGGTAAAAGTAAGCTCCATGTCGATTTTGAAAATTGTCTGGTTTGTCGTTCCAGTGGTATACATGTAGGATTCTAGAAATCCGTCAGATGTAAGTCAATTTTTACATGTTATGCATGCACTTACTCCACTATGATGTGATCGAATAACTTAAAACTTTACACTTTTGTTTGGATTGTTGAAAGTAAGCTACCTTTCGATAATCACGGTTTCGGATTTGCTATTCCAGAGTTGTGGGGTCCGAAATTGTCAAAATCGAAAAGTACTTTCTGCCGATCAGAAGAAGTGGAAAATACAATCATGTTTGATTACTAGAACTGTATTCATCTGCATTATTTGCATTTTGTGTTAAAAAAAAAACTTCAAGTCTACTTCAAGTCTGAAAATATCTAACTTATCTTAAAAAAGTTGACGAGAATGATCCTTAGTGGAGGATATATTTTAGTTTATGTCCAATAGTTTGGTATATCAATCATCATGGCCGCCATGACTTAAGACAAAACGCAACGAGTAAATTCAAATAATTATTACAGAAACAGAAATGCTCAGGAAGTCAAGACTTCAAAGTAATACCAACTGTATCCGTTAAAATTGTCAGTCGATTCTTTATTGTAGTTATTACCCTCAACCTACATTTTTAATAAATATTTTTTTCCTGTCTTGTACAAAACATAGTAATGTAAGGTCTGAAGATGAAAAGATCGTTATCGGGTTTGATTTCACTAGAACGCACATAGAAAGCAGCATATTTGAAACGAATAATTTGTTTCAAGAAAAGATTTTGATCCCGAGAAGGTGATTATAAATATATCCTTATGGCATGATTGTGCCACATGAGCGATTCATGCTCATATGATCAGCAATGTATTGTTGTTGTATCTATACTAGATTAATCAATCTTACACTAAGTCTAGAATATTCGATTCAAAAATCGACGAGAAAAGATACATCGTAAATAAAATTATGAAAAAATTATGTGTTGAAAATTCCTATTAGACATGAAGCATGTCATGTAAGTATGAGTAGCAGCCATATGTAGAACTATTACTATACTATTTTAACGGTTCTGTTTTCAGATAGTTTTTGCACGAGAGTGTGGGATACAATATCTTGTTGGCCTCCTACGAAATCTGGAAGTATGGTAACCATACCCTGTCCAAATTATTTTAATGGCTTCAATACAAAAAGTAAGATTTGAAACATGTTTATATGATTTTAAAAAAACAAATGCTTTATAATATTGTAGTTTGAAATATTTATATTACATATTCGAACTTCTGCTTTGTTAGTTATTATTAATCATTAGTCTGACAATAATAGAAATTTTCTAATGTTACTGATTTTATTATGTAGAATTCGCCAAGAAGTTCTGCACAATGAACGGAACATGGTTTTTCCATCCAAGTTTAAATGTTACGTGGACTGATTACAGAGATTGTCCATACGTGTCTGCACTAGAAGAGATACCAGAATTGATTAGAGTAGGCATTCTATACACAAGAAACGTCGGTCCAATTTGTAAAAATTAAGTAACAAGACATAAATTATTGTAAATATATGCAACAGTAGTACAGATGTTCAAATCTCATTAATCGATTAACGTAAGCGAGACAGTGGCCTTACATAAAAAAAACCTATAAACAAATTAACGGTAAAAAACGTCGAAAATTTGATAATATCCCAACAAAAAATGCCAAATAGTTCAAAAAAGTACTAAAAAATACCGAACTCCAAGTAAAATTCAAAAAAGGGGAAGTCCCTAAAACCAGACCAGGCAAAGTAAATGAATTTCTAGCCATAAGACTAAGTATGAAACAAAATATAAAGAACGAAAGCTAAAAAAACAGAGATTTCTCCTAGCAGCTTCAGTTTAAAATAAAATCAAAATAGTACGAAATCAAAATAAAGCATGTGATATCTATTGATGTGATTATTTTTCTTATATTATCGTCTAACAGATCATATCTTTCTCACTGGTTCAAAATAAACTCATCATAGATACCAACTTTTACGCCAGACGCACGTTTCGTCTACAATTAAAGACTCATCAGTGACCACTAATCCTAGATTTATTAAAAAACGGGGAAGTTCATAAAATCTGACCGGGTAAAGTAAATGAATTCCTCGCCTAAGATTTTTATGAAACACTGCAAAAGGAACAAAAGCTTATAAACGGGGATCAATAATTTTTTTTTTTATGTTTTTTTTTTTAAATTATACTCGTTCGGTATCACTTCAGAATAAGTATCAAAAATATTATTTATACTCTATATTTTACAGAATCACATGCCGTACATCCGTTTAATGTTTAACATTGGATATGGAATCTCACTGGTGTCATTAGTGTTAGCAACAGCAATAATGTTAACATTCAGGTATACTTCATTCTTATTTTAATAGAATACAGAATATTAAAAGTAATTAAAAGTAATTCTAAGATATGATTTTATCTAACTCTAAAAAAAAAGAAAGATGTTGCTTAACCCTCATCCGTATGCAGTTGGTTACATTACCTCTAATTTTCCTAACGTGCAATTGTTTATCAAAGATTTCAAGTTCATCTTCATTTTAATAAATTATTATGAAAGTAAACCGCGCAATAAACATTTTATTAAATATAATTTATACGTACAAAGTATTGTGAGATCATATATTGTGATGGGTGGGTGGTGATTCATGGAAAACATCTATTTTTATTGATTTTCTTGTCATTCTTTAAGTGGACGAGAAAAGGGTTTACGGAAGTTAAGGGTACATGTAAAATTAAAATTTAATTTGAGCATACTAACATTTATTTACGTCTTGACGTTTTTGTTTCGCCTTGACGAGGTACAATGTATGCTGTTTCCGGCGTCGGCGGTGTCGTGAACAATGCATTAGCTTGTTATTAGGTCAGTTTATAGGGAACCACTAGTGGTAGGTCAATGATATTTGGTATGCGGTTGTATTTAGCATTCGCACTTTTCATTTCCGTGAAGATTATTTAATCCCGCCAAATTAGTCATGGTCTATTGACTTTGAAACTTTTGCATGTATTAGTTTGTGATTAGGTCAGTTTAACGGGAACCACTAGATGTAGGTCAATGATATTGGTATGCAGTTATATTAACATTGGCACATTTCTATGGAGACTTTCGGCTCTGTACCTTCAGTCATGGTTCATTGTCTTTGAATATTTAGCATAACTTACATGTTGAAGTATTGTTATTTTAATTTCAACACTTTCATTTGTCGATCGAAATAAGAAAAGGCGGGACATATCTCTGTGTTAACAGTTTATTGCATATCTGTATATATAAATTTTTTGATTTCTGAAAAAGGGGAGAGTGAAACTGGAAATTTCCGAAATGTGTTCTATACTAAATGAGGGGCAGCTGTACATTATAATAAATGTACAAAACTAATACAAATTGTACTTTGTGTCATGATCCCATAATCTGCACGTGCTTAGGAGCTATATACTGTAATCGGCATGTATTCGTAAGATTATATATTAGGAATGTTGTTATAAATAACAGTAATATAAATAAAAGCAAGCATATATATGTTGCTGAAAAAAAAGAGATTACAATGATAACCCGATATCTTTTTTGCTGTCGTTCAATTTTTTTTTCAAAATCTCCATCATATGCTTAGCTTTCGAACTGTCCAAGGATCTAGTTGTTCTGAACTTTCTTCAGTTAATTATTCCGACATAACAAATGAAAATCCAACAATCAACATTTTATTTTAGTCAAATAGCTTTTGTATTACACTTCCTACCGCTCTTAATCTCGAATGTGAATGTGAAATAATAAAAAGGTACTGACGGCAACAAATATTTCAAACAATAAAATTATACAGAACAAGCAAGAAATTATAAACTAAATTGTAAGTTGGAAAACAAAAGAATAACGTAAAAAAATTTCCCTATATCTCTTGTGGGTAGTAAATTTCAAACCGTACAGGAACAGGATACATTAACACCCGGAAATTTAATCAAAATGAAGCACGAACGGCATAGGAAAATTGAAACTTTTCGAAATATACCTGTTGAAAATTTAACATATGATTGCGTTCCAAATAACCGAGTCCATTCTTTTTGTAGTATTGTTGTTATTAAACTGTACTTGTGTTAACTCCCTTTGAAAAGACAAAACTATTCATTTGAATACAAGAATTAATTCATACATGGCTTTTTGAATGTAGTGGATTGATAATAAACATTATTATGACCCCGAACATTTCAATGTAAAATCCTTCAATCCTTTCAAAATCTGGTAATCTTACAGCCAAATGGAAAACGCAATACAATAATAATGGCGTGGCGTTGTCAGTTTTTGTTTTACTCATGAATTGGAATATCCCTCTGACATCATCGATTCTCTTTTATAATACTGTAACACATACTTGATGAGCTACATGAAAAAATGGAACTAAATAGAGTGACCTAAACAATGTAAGGTTAACTTTGCATGTGTTTTTTAAATGAAGGACACACATTAAATTTAATACACATAGAAACACCAGTTGTACGAATTTTGCTTCTAAATAAACTCCTCATAGATACCAGGATTGAAATTCTATAAGCCAGACGCGCGTTTCGTCAACAAAAGTCTCATCAGTGACGCTCGAAACTTAGTAAGTATTTGAATTTTCAAATAGAAATAAGTTCATCAGTAAGCTAAGTGTGTTTGAGAAATGCAAATATATACCAAATTAATCAAATTTTTATATGTTTTACTTGTATTTATAGACGATTACGATGTCCTCGGAATATAATCCACATACACCTGTTTATCTCCTTTATACTGAGAGCATCAATATCTTTCATGAAAGAAAATTTGTTGGTCAATGGAACTGGATTTCCATCAGATATTCGAGAAATTAATGGCAATTTAGAGTTTATTACCGAAGGAACAGTTAGTATTAAATGTTTTTTTTTCATTTTTCATAATATATATACATCAGCAATGATTATTATTTCTATTGAACACATTGACAGATATTTTCATATGAACGAAATGACGTAACTATGCGTTGTGTATTCTTTTCGTAGAAATTTGTTATTAAAAAAATTAAAAATATGATAGAATTAAGACCAATTCTATCACTTCACAACTGTGAGAATAATCTGTCATTGAACAGTTCTACCCTTGACCTATTCTAGGTTAGAACTTACCAAAACTGCTCTAAGGTAGAACTGCCAGGAACAGTTCAAAGGTAAACCTGTCCAAATCTGTAATAAGGTAGAACTGTTAGAATCTAATTGTAGATATATCAGTTTCAAATTATATAGATTAGAGCAGCTGTCAAATCAGATATTGTTAATGAAGTTGTCTAAAAATAATGACAAGCAGACAAACAACTGTACACAAAACACAACACAAAAAACTAAAGACTGAGCAACACGAACCCCACCAAAAATTAAAGAGGGGGAGGGGGGGGGGGGTCTCTGGTGCTCCGGAAGGGCAAGCAGATCCTGCTTCACATGTGGCACCGCCGTGTTGCTCATATAAGTACAAACCCGGTGACAAGTCTAATTCGGTAGGTCACAATCGGGGAAAAGAGGACGGGATTGTAGTTACGACAATTGAAATATATCCGTCGTCATCTGTGAAACAGGTATTCTATAACGGCCAACCAACTCGAGATGGCGCGAAACAGAAACTGTTCTTAAGGTATCAGTAGAACTGTTCCGCTGATTATTCTTGAACAGTTCTCCTGGCAGTTCATGTGAGATGTTTATAGAGGTTGGAACTTAAATACCAACTGTACTATACAAGGGTTTCATGTAGTATCATTACTCGGCACACGGACAAATATGAGGAATGCCGTGTTTTTCAAAGAAGTGATTCCAGTCGTATCATCAGTGTAAACACCTTCTGCTGTAGAGCATTACCCATCAATCGATTACAGATGCATGTAGTTAATGTAATGACAAGGAACATGATAAAACATACAAACACTTTGTTAATTTCTGTTCCCATGAACATTTCGTACTCATTGAATTTTTATACATATATGTTTTCAGCATTGGGTGTGCAAATTATTCTTTACATCATTTCACTATATACTGGCAACAAATTACATGTGGATTCTTGTAGAAGGGTTATACTTAAACATGTTAATTACTGTAGCTGTGTTCTCAGAGAAAAGTGGAATAAAATGGTTCACCATTTTCGGATGGGGTATGTTTATGATTGTCGCTAGTAATATAGTTGTGAAACTAATGTTGATACTTAATGATTATTCCGATTTCCTGTTAACTCATTCGTCAATATGCTTTTTTTGTAACACGCTTTCTTGTTGCATGTTAAAGCTAAATTCATCCAAAAAGGCCAATGTTACAGTTTTCGTGAAAATTGGCGTCTGACATTCATCCGTCTGCCTCTTTAACAAAATGTTCACCTCTGCAAACAGCTTCTCTTTTTAAGCCATATATATTTGTCATTCTACATTCTAAATACAGACCATAAGGATAAAAATTCATGTGATTTTCTGATATTTAAAAAGAAAAACAAAAAACAAAAGATACAGGTAAATTGAGTGCAGCAAAAATGTTCAGCATTACAAGATCTTCAAAATTACCAAAATAACTGAAACCATCAATGACTCCACACATCAGTTATTGCTCATAAATGACGATGTCTGTCTTTTAGCGTTTCTGCCTTTTATCTTGAAAACTAGTATAAACAGACAGAGCTTAAAAACAGCAAATTAATCAGCAATAAAAAATCAAAACGGTGAGGTTATGAGAAGTTATATGCAAAATTTCAAAAATATAAATGAGTTGTTTTTATTCACTTCGATTCAGGTATTTCGATGTAACCCGTGTCAACACCTCACAAAGAACGACACTGATTTTTAAATTTTGATATTATGAATTTTTTTTAACTTAAATCTTTTCAATTAATTTTTTACAATCTCAAATATATAAACCAAACAATTTGAACGTTTAGTTATGCGTATTTTATTCAGAATAAACGCTTCATTAAAAATGTCCGACACAATCCAAACACAAATAACGTCATTATGTGAACAGGAATGGTACAAACTGCTAAGATGGTATTTATCTTTACGTGTTAAACTTTGATTCTCATTCTTTTTTTTTAATCTGTAGAATTTAGGTACTTTCTCCGGTAGAAGGAACAACATTGTAGTGTTTAATTATATTTTAATATTTTGTCATTATTGGAATTTGGTGTTGATCAGAGATCTTTGATAGTCTGAAATTTATTCACAACTTTCAGTCTCGACTCTGAACGATATAGAAATTGACACATTGTACAGATACTTATCTTTTGAAGACAGCGACCTTAAAAAATTTGAACTACATTTCAAAACGGACGTTTAGATACTGTATGTTGATTTTCAAAATGTTACCGTAAAATGTTTATCTTTTACTATATAAAAGATACATTATTTTTTTACAAACACAATATTTAATAAGTGAATCCACAGAAATTGAGATCCAATGGGTGCAATCTTTACCAATAATCAACAATCACCATTTTGTTATTCTAATTAACAAGATATGCACACATACATGTACAAATATATGAAAAACCAAGCGTGTGTATTTCAACATATGATTCACAAATATTTGACATTTAATTTTAACAATATAATTACAAGAAATCCTAGGCAATCGATAAATCTTATTTTAAAAGCAAATGTTAATTATTTCTAAAGAAACATTTCAACGTATGCGATAAAAAGATTCGAAATAACGTGCAGATATGTCAATATCAACAAATATATATTCAAAATTATAGAATTTAACTCTAATTTCAGAAAATGTTGAACTTCGAATCATTCAATGAATTTATAACTACTGACGTATTATTAATTAAAAGCCATTTTATCTGATTTCATTGCTGGAAAAAAGAATTATTCATGTCAAGCAAATTTAGAAACTGAACAAACCATTAAGCGAAATACCTATTTAACAAAATGATTTTTTTTAAAAAGATATAAGAAGATGTGGTATGAGTGCCAATGAGACAATTCTCCATCCAAGTCAAAATTTATAAAAGAAAACCATTATAGGTCACAGTACGGTCTTCAACACGGAGCCTTGGCTCACACCGAACAGTAAGCTATAAAGGGCCCCAAAAAATTACTAGTGTAAAACCATTCAAACGGGAAAACCAACGGTCTAATCTAAATAAAAAACGAGAAACGAGAAACACTTATGAACCACATCAACAAACGACAACTACTGAACATCAGATTCATGACTTAGGACAGGTGCAAACAAATGCAGCGGGTTTAAACGTTTTAATGGTACCAAACCTTCACCCTTTTTCTGAAACAATAGTGTAACATCACAACATAGAAAGACACACTATAAAATATCAACTGAAATAGCTTAACTCAATCAAAGGACATATTAACACCATTGAACATACACTGAACAAATAAATTTGACCTATGACACAATGTAAATAAAAAATAATGTCCTTTTTATCAAATATTGGTTTTGATATGGGGAAAGATGAATGGATGGATGAACGGCTGGGTGTTTAACGTCCAGTTGCAAATTAAATGCATATTCAGAACGAGAACATGTCTATGCGATATGAATATGAACCCTGCTCTGTACTTGAACGGCACACTGCGCCGGATTGTTAACGTACTGCAATGTAGTTCTCAAGATTACAGTACGCAGATAGACATGTTTCTCCACCCGCACACATTATTCAGACTCCGACCCCGACCAGTCTTTTCTCTTACGTCTATATATCGCTTGCGTAGCGGCGAAGCAGAAAATAACATATTAAAAAAAAGCTTATCTAAATATTTTGCTTTAATGTCTGCATACTTAAATTGTTAACATATAGGTAAAATGATATCAAGTGAAACATTAAAAAATCATATGTATAAAAACTGACAAATCTCAAAATAGTTTTCTAGTCAAGGATTATTATTTTAATCGCATGTAGTCTTTTTATTAATGCAATTGGAATGCATTCAACAGATGATTTAAAATCTTTAAAAGAGAATCTGATTGACTTTCTAAAATGGCTATTTAGTCGATAAACCAATTTAAGTCTTCAGCTCAGCGTTTTCAACTAACATCAATTAAATTAAATCTTGAAATATTTTTCTTGTTGGCCTTCGTTCTCATTACTTATTACGCAATACTGCTTAATTGCTTATATTTCAAGCAGTTTAGTTACAATTATTGTTTTATTTACGATGTATTATTGGATCTAAGCTTCTCAAGTTTTCGTTATTTGAACTTTTGGTACCAAATTCAGTAAAACATGGAATAGATATATTACTTTTGGGTGTAAGAATGTGAATTTAGTACAAATCATACCGGTGTTTGAATGTGGATTAATCTGTACTTAAATTCATAGAATTGCACAAAGAAGTAAAATTCGAAGTAAATATTCAATACACATTGATTCTAAACATTAAAGGTTTAATCTCTCTTACTTGAGATAATGTTTTGTGTTGTAAGGCAACGTCCAGCAGTGCGGTATATAAAACATACCTTTTAAGGCAAATGAATAAAATTGAGAATTGAAATGGGGAATATGTCAAAGAGACAACAACCCGACCAAAGAGCAGACAACAGCCGAAGGCGACCAATGGGTCTTCAACGCAGCTAGAAAATCCCCCACCCGGAGGTGGTCCTCAGCTGGCCCGTAAATAAAATTGTGTACTAGTTCAGTGAAAATGGACGTCATACTAAACTCCAAAACATATAAATGAACTGAAATTGAAAAAAACATACTAGACTAACAAAGGCCAGAGGCTCCTGACTTGGGACAGGCGCAAAAAATGCGACTTTAAACTTTGATGCTTAAATGAACTTATATCTACAAAATTTTACATGGAAATATTTCCAATTTATTGAAATAACAATGTTTAATTTTATACCATAGCGTGAAACTTTAACCATTTATCCGACACATTTATCTGAAACTGAAATTTTCTAACCCTAAAAATTGTACTAGCAGGATTTTATCTAATATGTTCATGTTAAAACTAAATATGAGATAGTTGTATTTCCAGAAATAATCGCATTATTCTGCATGAAACATCAACATTTTATCTCGAAGAAAATCATTGACATGACTTTTTCAAAGCGATTACATGGGTTGTGTGTACTATACAATTAAAATCCTGCATGCTTTTTGTTTTCTGAACTTAAAGAAATTTAATAATTTCAATATTTGTCATTGATTTTCATTTTGAATCTAACACGGTTTGGTTTCTTTAGCGATATTTTTCAATCGATCTTATGTTTATTTTATTACAGTTTCGCCGATTTTGTTTGTTGGTCCATGGGTAATAGTCCGGATACTACACGAAAATACATAGTAAGTTGTCTTTTATTACAAACTTTTACTTAAAGGTAAATGTAGAACATAATATAGTTCTCCAGTATATCAGTTCTGCGTAAACAAACATTTATTTGAAGAAGATGCAACACACCCTACCTATATAATTTGCATTGTACGTCTAAAACAAGCAGCACTTATTGTCTTTCAGAAGATGGAATAAAACAGATACACATCTCCTTTTATTCATTACTAAAAAAGGGTTTAAATAAGTAAATGAATTTTAACGGTGACTTCGTTTAATTTGTTTTATATTTTATAGCTGTTGGAACACTCACACCCGTCCTGGATATTTCTGGATTATGAGAGGACCAATTGTTTTATCTGTAGCTGTAAGTAGAAAGTTCTACGATTTCAAAATGTCAATAACAGCTAATAGACTTAGTATATGTAAGAGAATGGTAATCCCTGTCTGCATGATTAAGTACGAGCGTTAGCGAATAATTATCATGAAGAAAGGGATTATCATTCTCATTCTCTTCCATACTTTGAATACGTAAAGTGCTCAAGTCTCAAATGATCTCTTAATTGGTTGTTTTCCAGAATTTTATCATTGTCAGTGGAATTTTATGATTAATGCATGACTTCCTCTTTAGGCATTTCATTTATGGATTAGTTTTAGTGATGTAAGGACTTTCTTATAATTTAGAAAAAAAATAGTAAATTGTGTTTTAGATATTAGACGACACATCAGTATACAATGATACGATAGGAATTGAATATGTTTCCTGATTGTAAGTATGAATGTAAATCATGTAGTATTTAAGCGAGGAATTATATTTTTGTTTTTTATGCTTCAAATCAATAAATAAAAAATTAGAGTTACAGCTAAATTTTATTTCACGGACAATTATTTGGTCCAGCTACATCAAAAACTACTTCATTATGTCATGATAATATTCAAATGAAATGCTTCTTCAAGTTTTAAAAATATTCCAAAGTTAAATTGAATTCCTGTTTTTTTTATGTTATTAAATTATTGAAAATTACTAATTTTACCATGCGAGATCCAGTAATCTGAGTTTTGGTAAGCTTATTAGCTAAAGATTTAGGTTATATTTAATTTAGAAAAATTGTTTTTTTCTTTTTATTTTGCATTGCTTTGATATTGTTTACTTTTTCAGTAATTTGAAGTTATTAATAATTTTCTTATAATAACCTTACCGGTACCAATTTACTACACCAGTAAACTTATTTTGATTTTTTCGTTTGTTTCTAATTTTCAAATTTTAGTCAGTTTCAATCACAAATCCTTTCAATCTGATAAATGTGTTTCGAGGAAGTTGTAACTCATTTATAGAAAACCTGTGTTTTGAACTGTAAATAGGTCTTAACAATAGGATAACACCTTACTAAGAACATGATTTACATTCATTCTTCACAATTAAGAAACACCAAATCCCACAATTTCATTGGTCGAGATCACTTTACTATAATCTAATATTCTGATACATAATTATTTTATATTTAAAGTAAGATTATATTATGGTATAATAGGGTTATAATCCACGCTATTTGATTGATTATATAACGAAAATCAGTCTATATGCCTTCGTAACTTTTAATTTCACGATTTGATTCTCTATGCCAATTTGTAAAAAAAAATCTTTTCATTTCAGATAAACTTCATGATCTTTTTGAATATAATTAGAGTTTTATTTACAAAATTAACTGCATTCAACTCATTTGAAACGAAGAAATTCAGGTACAGGTGAGTAAATTAACGTTATTTTATTGCAGAGACGAGTTGCTAGCTAGTAAGCGCTGATTCATAACTACTCAGTATTGCTTTCAGAGGGACTATTTCTTAAATTTCTTATGTTATATGTTGTATCAAAGTGCATCAGTATAAGTTTTCTAGATGCTATAGGTTTTGACGACACATCTTTGTTTTCCTATTTGTTTCATTTCAGATATGTGTTTGATTTTTCAATGATTATATTAATAATTGTGAATTAAAGTGTAAATGCATTTTTTTCCATGATGGAATTGGAGTTTGTTTCATTACATACATCTACCATTAAGGTTCCTTCTACAGACTTGAGTTGCCAGTCTAAGCTATTACTGTTGTAAAGATTTATCGTCACCGTTTTAAAAAGCTTTATTCAATATTTTCCTTTTACAGTCTTCTTTTTTTCTCATAAAACCACGCCTTCCTTATTTCTACAAAACGGATGTTGATATTTGTCAAATGAGTGGCGTAATAAGTAAGCATCTTACAAGGAATGCGATGAATGTATATTCCATGAAAATTGCAATGATCAAGGAGACCATCGATGTCTTCAAAAACGTTACAACACTTATCAATATAATCCTAAATAGAACATTTGTAATATTGCACATTGCGTAAAAAGGTACTTTGAAAGCGTTCTGACATTTTTTTTCACATATTTTAACAAATTGGTCAAACAAAAAGGTAAAAGATGACTATATGTAATGAACATTGGACTACATTGTATACTGGAAAAGTCCATAGTTAATAGAGGAACGAAATTGGCTACTGGAATCCCTTCTGTGTATCTTAATATATATTTGTATTAGTTTTACCTCTGCGACATTTTAAGCTATTAGTGATTAGTGCCAATGAAGTTAAACATGGAATCTTTCTTTATAAAGGTATTTTATATGAATTGTTTTGTAGGTCTTTCCCATATTTAAACTGGTTTGTAAATTTAAAAATGGCATCAAGATATAGATTATTTAAAACTAAAATGATATTTTGTTAAAAAAAACATTAAATCGACCATATATACATATATATCCTTTAAAAGAAAAATAAAGTTTGCCTTGCACTACAAATTTTGAATCACATGAATGAATTGGATACTTAAATTACATGTTACACTAAAATGAGAACATTTTATTTTTTGGTTTAAATTTACATATATATTGAAACAACTAAATGTATAAAGTAATATAATTGTTTGTAGATATACTTATGTTGATGTCATTTATGCTGCATAATACCTAACACGTTCTTTGTTTTTTTAACACATCACACACGCTATATACTGCAATGCACTTTGTGTTGAATCCCTGCTTATGTGTGGTTTGTTACTTGTTATTGTTCTATGTTTGAAGCATAATCATTTTTTTTTTACCTAATGACACAAGTGCCTGAAAATCAAGAAACAGTACGATGAAAGTGTAAACAATCCATTATTTTTTCATGGATACGTGTTTTAGATTTTTATTCAACCTAATTGTTACATCAATCCTTTTGACATATATTGTTTTGCAATTACTCTAAACGGACGAAATTACAAACGGACATATTGACAAACCTGAATATGAATTTCACTCACAGTTCTTAGTTATTTCTTAGAAATTTGATTAAGATAACGGGGATAGAAATTGTCAGTAGTTTTTCGCGAGAAAAATATCTGCCATGATTGTATGGTGCAGACTTGCCTTTTGAATGTTAAACTCTGGACTTTCCATTGGACATTCATCAAGTTAATCATCACAGTATGTATCTGTAGACCCCTTATATGAGTATTTAAAAGAAAAAAAAAAATGGTATGTTGATCTTGTCGATCCTCTTTTATATTCTTTCTATTGACATTATAGCTTTAATCAACAGCTGTAATTTTTATGCCCCCGCCGTAACGGAGGGGGCATTAAGTTTTACCCTTGTCCGTCTGTACATCCGTACGTTTCCGTTCTCTAACTTTAGTTTGCCTCAACCAAATGTTATTAAACTTATACACAATGTTTATGACCACAACACACAGATCATGTTGAATTTTGGTGGCGTCTCTTTTACCGCTCTATAGTTATGCCCCTCTACAAATGGAAAAAATGCTGATTTTTTCGTTTCCGTTCTCTAACTTTAGTTTGCTACAAATCTTGTACACAATGCTTATTACCTCAAAACACAGATCAAGTTTGAGTTTTGGTGGCGTCACTTTTACCGTTCTAGAGTTATGCCCCTTTACAAATGGAAAAATAGCTGAAGTTTTCGTTTCCGTTCTCTACCTTTAGTATGCCTCAATCAAATGTTATGAAACTTATGCACAATGCTTATTACCACAAAACACAGATCAAGTTTGAATTTTTGTGGCGTTACTTTTACCGTTCTAGAGTTATGCCCCTTTACAAATGTCAAAATTGCTGAATTTTTCGTTTCCGTTCTCTGACTTAAGTTTACAGTTCTTAAGTTATGTCCCTTCATAACGTTATATGCAAGCGGGGGCTTCATCTGTGTCGCATGGACACATTCCCCATTTATTTGGTAAATCCTGCTTGCTATTAAGCGAAGAAGACTATTCCCTCAAAACCTGCTGAGGAATCTGAAAATTGTTTTGTCATACAGAGGGAATAACAAGGGAAAGAATGTTGAAAAAGTAATCTGTAGTATTCATAATTATAAGTATTTGCTTGTCTTGTAACTGTTAGTGAAAAATTACCAAATAGAAAAATATTTTTGATTTAAATTATTTGAAATCTTTCAATTTTTATTTCCTGTTGATTACCAAATCCTGTTGAAGTAAGTTTCAAAGTTTCAAGCATCATAACTGACATATACCAGTTTTTAAATGTATATAAATATATTGATTCTGAATTCAGGTTCTCAATATGTTTTTATAGATGTCAATAAAAAGGAACAAGTTATGATAAAATAAATCTAGTGGCTGCCATAGGGATCGATTTATTATAGAAATAATTGAATAAAACAATGAAACTACTTTTTTGCTTACATAGGGAATATTTACAATCAAGTCGGTGCAGCAAAATGGGCACGATGTCAGGACATTACGAATTTACATCACTCAAACTACAGTACACAAAACAACATAGCAAACCAAACACTGGGAAACACGAAGCCCATCAAAAACTAGGGTGATCTCAGTTGCTCCGGAAGGGTAAGCGGATCCTGCTCCACATGTGACATCCGTCGTGTTGCTCATGTAGTACAATCCCGGTGATATATCTAATTCGGTAGGTTACATTCGGAAGAAAGGGGACGAGATTGGAACAATTGGAACATATCCGTCGTCATCTGTGGAACAGATATTCCATATTGGTCAACCATCTCGTGATGGCGTCCATAAAATTTACGAAGGGATGTTTTCAACTTCACCACTAGGAACTCTTGGTTTAATAGCTTCCTTGTGAGCAGCAACACCCCATCAAGGAAATCGTGGTAGGAAACACAAGCCCTGGAATATCGTATCAACTGGGAAATATATACTCCGTATGCAGGCGCTGCTAGAATGTTGCTACATACAAATGAAAAGTTCACAATTGGGAACCTAAAATCATCTCTTTTGTCGTAAAGTTTTGTTTTTAAACGACCCTCATTGACAATTTCTAAATGTAAGTCAAGATATGAGACAGACTTAACTGTATCTGTTGTATCCTTTATTGCAAGTTCGATGGGATAGATGCGTCCAAATTTTGGAATTATTTAGTGAGAGAACATCATCTATATAGCAGAAAGTGAAATTAAAGGATACTGCTAACTTCTTTTCTTTCTTCCTAAGAAGTTCATGTATGAAGTCAGCCTCCTATGAATGAAGAAACAAGTCGGCAAGAAGAGGAGTACAGTTGGTTCCTATGGGAATGCCGATTGTTTGTTGACCAAACGTAACAAATATGTTGTCAATCATGAAATCAAGAATCTTGATAATTTCAGATCCAGAGAATTTTTTGTTTGAAAAAAAATTGACAGGAACTAGAAAGCCCATAAATCTTAGTTACAAAAAAGTAACGTAGGCATAATCACTAAATAATAACCTGTTGTTTTAACAGGACAACTAGAGATAAGAAAGTTTTTGTTACGTGTAAACTTTCAAGTTACACAATTCCCCTGTTCACCAAAAAAAAAAAAAACTGTCACATTACGCAAAACACAATTAGAATTTGAACAATTTCCTTTTACACGTTGAGTCATACATTATATTGCATAAAAACTACCTTTTCTTCAATTATTTAAAAAAGAAGTGTGAGATTACAAATCTTAATATTTGGGAAAAGACCATACACTGTTTCCAATCGTAGATACACCGTTTGCATGGTTTATTATTTGCCTTTACACTTTACATCACTACACTATGTATCAATTAGCTTTTCACTATATATTATTTAGTTTTACACCATAGACCATTGCACTATGTACCCTCATATTACACCATACACGTTTTGTCTTAAAAACTACACAATTCAAGGGCGGTAGCAACAATAGATTAACAGATCACATAATTTTAATACCCAAACTTAATTTTTTTAACAGGAACCGCGTCAAATAATCATTACAAAACTAGCCTAAACTTTTTGATATGGAGGTAACAAGGCTATACAAACTGAATTGTCATACAATGTAACAGTAAAAGCAGAATCAATACCAACATTAAGAAAGCCAAGATACATATAAGATATTTCGGCAGGAAATTACTTATGAAAAGACCATATATTTCGGGTCAAATAACAAAATGTCGTAATGCAAGAAAATGAAGAGGCAAACATGAAAGACTTTATATGAAGAATACATACGCTTTCAATGTTATAAAAAAATATATTGCCCTGTACAGCATTTAAAACGTGTGTTAATAACATTAATCTTGAATGCGTTTAAATCGTGTTTCTGATTTATTTCGTTTACACGTTTGATTGAGATTATAACTTTTAACCTGCCACATATTGTGTCAAAATTAGAGGCAACAGTAGTTATTTGGTGTTCAAATTATTAGAACCATTTAGAATAAACAAATCAAGATCAAATAAATCAAAATCTGAGGAAATCGAATGAAATCCAAATGAAGCGAAACAGGGTGCGTCGACAGCGTAAGCGTCTCGAGCTAGCATGAATCAACCGCCATGCGAATCCTCAGTCAGTCAAAATGGCACAATAGGGATAAGGACACATGATTTATTTCGTTTACACGTTTGATTGAGATTATAACTTTTAACCTGCTACATATTGTGTCCAAATTAGAGGCAACAGTAGTTATTTGGTGTTCAAATTATTAAAACCATTTAGAATAAACAAATCAAGACAAAATAAATCAAAATCTGAGGAAATCGAATGAAATCCAAATGAAGCGAAACAGGGTGCGTCGACAGCGTAAGCGTCTCGAGCTAGCATGAATCAGCCGCCACGCGAATCCACAGTCAGTCAAAATGGCACAATAGGGATAAGGACACATGATTTATTTCGTTTACACGTTTGATTGAGATTATAACTTTTAACTTGCCACATATTGTGTCCAAATTAGAGGCAACAGTAGTGAATTGATGTTTAAATTATTTAAACCATTTAGAATAAACAAATCAAGACAAAATAAATCAAAATCTGAGGAAATCGAATGAAATCCTAATGAAGCGAAACAGGGTGTGTCGACAGTGTAAGCGTCTCGAGCTAGCATGAATCAGCCGCCATGCGAATTCACAGTTTGTCCAAATGGCACAATAGGGTTAAGGACACATGATTTATTTCGTTTACACGTTTGATTGAGATTATAACTTTTAACCTGCCAAATATTGTGTCCAAATTAGAGGCAACAGTAGTTATTTGGTGTTCAAATTATTAAGACCATTTAGAATAAACAAATCAAGACAAAATAAATCAAAATCTGAGGAAATCGAATGAAATCCAAATGAAGCGAAACAGGGTGCGTCGACAGCGTAAGCGTCTCGAGCTAGCATGAATCAGCCGCCATGCGAATTCACAGTCAGTCAAAATGGCACAATAGGGATAAGGACACAATCGTCTAATGTCAGGAAATTCGTTCATGCTTATCTTTATTTATACTTTTTATGTTTGTCATTTAGGAAATTTGATAATATTGGCAGATCTTTGATAGTATATGTTAAATATATTGGTACCTTTTCTAGAGTCAGGGTGATTTAAATTTTGACTTATTGTGAAGAAACATGTCTATATATTTATACTGTAATCACCTTTTAATGTGTCCATTGTTTTTTTGTTTTGTTTCGTAGGATTTTTATAATACTGACTCCCCGATTAGAGTTCATGTGATTCCTTCAAGTTTTTTTCCTCTTGGTTGATAATGATAAATCCAACTGTTGTCCTTAAAGTTACCTAACATCACCTTTCATACATATCAGAAAATCGATTTATTTGATTTTCTAATTGATTTTGGGGAATGTTCCCTTGGTATCTCCCGCATGTTTGTCGATATTCATAGTCTGAAAGGGGCGGAAGATACCAAAGGGACAACCAAAATTCATAAGTCGAAAGAAACCAATAAAACCCATGGATAAAAGCGTAACAACAAACAGACATATAACAGTCTTCAAACCACTACATATGAATTTAGACTGAGCAACTCAAACTATATCAAAACCCAGGGTGATCCCAGGTGCTCTGGAAAGGTAAAGTGAATTCTGTTCCACATTTGACACAAGTCGTGTTGTTCAGGGTAAGTTCGATGATGTCACATCTTAACTGATGTTCCTAATCATTTTAATAAAACTACGAATGATACTTCAAATTCCTCACATTTCTTAATATTTTTCTTGAAATAAATGTCTGGACATGTTCTTTCCTTTATCATGTGTAACACTACAGGATATGCACAGAAGGTGGTTGTTAATTAAAGAAACTAATAAGACATACTTTCTTTCATAAGATATAGATATAAGAAGATGTGGTATGAGTGCCAATGAGACAACTCTCCATCCAAGTCAAAATTTATAAAAGTAAACCATTATAGGTCAAAGTACGGTTTCCAACACGGAGCCGTGGCTCACACCGAACAGCAAGCTATAAAGGGCCCCAAAAATTACTAATGTAAAAACCAACGGTCTAATCTATATAAAAAATGAGAAAAGAAAAACACTTATGAACCACATCAACAAACGACAACTACTGAACATCAGATTCCTGACTTAGGACAAGTGCAAACAATTGCAGCGGGTTTAAACGTTTTAATGGTACCAAATATTCACCCTTTTTCTGAAACAATAGTGTAACATTACAACATAGAAACAATACTTTGCATTTTACGATGTTTGTTCAAATACTATCTGGTGAGGTTTTAGATAGAACATAAGGAAAACTGGCAAAATTCAGTTTTACAATATACCCTTTAATATTATACCATTTTCCATTTGATTAATGATCGTTGTTGAATAAGTTATTATAATATTAGTTTTTTTTGTTTTCTTTATACTAAGTAAGTCGGTCGGTTGAGAGTAGAAATTTCCATATTGGTCTTTCAGATGTTACTCTTACCCATAATTTTATATTGTTCAATTATCAATATTTTCTTAAATGGATAACAATCATGTTTTGAAAGTAAAGTTTCATGTCTTGAAAGGCAATCTATGTTAAATTCCATTTGTTTAGCAAATGTTTTTACTTTTGCTTACAACAAATTATTCTTTAACTTCTCGTTTATTTAAATACTATACCGCTTAGCATACTAATGAAATAATGTAATTAGTATTTGGCAAAGTGAAAAATTCCAAAACTATCATACTCATCAGTAGATCTAGATCAACTAGTAGTTGCAGATGCGTCATTGTTTTTTTATAAAGTAAAACATTTTGCTTATAAGTAGTTAATCTTGAAAAGCCTGTCAATTCTTTAGATATGTTTTCAATCTGTTTCCACCTTTACAGTTAAGTAGTGTATTCTATCATACTACACACACACTTATATTATATATATGTATATATGAAAACATGTATAATTCATTTATAAGTAGATCTAGATATATCTTAATATTATCATTATCTAAGTAAAATAAATATTTAAAGAGAAATATTTGAAAAACCTGTGCATTTTCGAATTTTTCTTTTCCCTGGAAATGGTCAATGGACCCCTATCCCCAACTTCTGTATCATCCTACCCGCATTTTAGAAGGAGGGTTTGTTTTGCTCAGTCTTTTTATTTTCTCTGTTCCGACTTGAGAATTGTTATTGTCTCTTTTATATTATTCGTCCCTTTGTATCACAGCATACCGATTCAGTTCCCCCAACATGCCAGTTATTATCGGATTAACCAAAAGTATATGTACACCTTGATGTTTTCTCATTTTATCAATGTTGTCCTGAACTGGATAATTTCAAATCAGCATTGCTCTCGTCTGTCTGTCGCTGTTATATTAGTAATTACACGACCAATTTAATATATAAGAATATATGTATTTCTTCTTGAGTACTATCGTTATATCAAACTGCGTTTATATAAGGTTTGTTTTTTTATTGTTATCATTTGATGATTAAAAGATGTTGTAAAAGTTATTCATAACAAAAAAGGTACTTGTTATACTGCAGCAGATGTGCGTATCGACAATTACTGTCTTCTCAGTGATTTTCGAGGCAAACGTTTTTGAAAATCAAAAACCCAATACAAACGTTGATGGAGCTGATCAAACAAATAAAAGGACCTAGATAATAGCAAAATCCGGACAAGGAATTAGTCTAATTTTAAATGATTTCTAAATTTTATAACTGCAAATTTCAATCAAACAAGACATGTATTTACAATTCTAAAACACATTAGATACTAAGTCTTCTGTGTGTTAAAACGAATAATGCAAAGCCAATATGAACTCACAACCACAATAATGTAAATTCATTAATTCATAAAACAAGCGATTTAAGAAAACTTTAGTTTAAATCAATTTAACTATCAATAACGATAACCATAACAACGAAGTATGACAATTCTGTTATGCAAGAAAATGCAAACTTTCAATGGAGGGAGCAACCAAAAACCATTAGTCAAATAAAACAGACAACACCTTGGCCAAAAAGAAAATTGAAGAAAATTGAAGAAAAGATAACAGTCCTTCAACACTACACACAAAACTTAAGATTTGAAAACACGAACCTTCCCCAATAATCAGATGCTTCGAAAGGTGAAGCAGTCCATATTTCACAAGTGGGACACATCGTGTTACTCATTGTAATTAAACGGTCGTTGATTAGTCGAAATGAATGATTTTACTATCGAACAAAAGAGGAAGTGGTTGTTGTTACAAGTGTTACACAGATATACCATAACTGTCAACAAAATCATCATGGCATTCGTAAAACTTTCAAAGCGATGACTTTACCATATTAAACCCTTGGTTCAAAAGCTTCTTAATAATAAACATTCCTCTAATAAGGTAATCATGATAGGAAACGTAATTCCTTGAATATCGTATCAACTCTGGGATGTATACTCCATGTACAGGCGCTATTGGAATGTTAATACATAGAAATCGAAAGATCGAAATGAGAAAAATTGAAATCTCCCGTTTTTGAAGTTTAAATCTCAACTTGCCAATTCCGAATTGTAATTCATATCAATTATGAAGCAAACTATAATCTAAGGTCTCACCTTCGCATTTAAGTTAAAGACAAAGATAAATATATTTCATGTTAACTAATTTATTTCTTCACACTTTATCAATTTGGAATGAACATTTAATCATAGTACATATTAATATAAAAACAGGAGTTTTTTCTATCTTTCAGGAGGCTGGCTAAATCAACAATGGTATTGATTCCATTATTTGGCGTGCATTATATTGTGTTTATAGGATTACCTGATAATGTCAGCAAAGAAGCAGAACTTGTCAAGTTATACTTTGAAATGTTCTTGAATTCAATACAAGTATGTTCTTATTCATATTTTTTTACTCTTTCGGACTTCGAGCATCGGTTACGATTAGTACATTTTGTGTGTCAAATGAGCTTTGACTTCTTTAAATTTAAGTTTAGTAGTTACTATCACTTGGTTAATACCACTGCTGATGTTCTGTATATGTTTAAATAAAATATCTAGCTCGGTAAATAGTACCTGACGTTACTTTGAAATTAATACTTAAGAAATCTTCAGATATCAACACGATTTGTAAATTATAAATTTAACTTTTTTTCATTATTTTTGAGATACTAATAATCGTTAGTACTTTTCGACTATGAATATATGGTTTCGAGCACATTTAAATCATGTCATTAATATTACTACCATTGGGTCGGTGTTATATATTGTCATTTTGTATTTATGTTATAACTTTTTCATTTGTACTTCTATTATTTGGTCGATGTTAAATCTTTTCAATCGTACTGCTACCATTGGTTCGGTGTTCTATCTCTTCATTGTGTTCTACCTGTGGGTCGGTGTTATATCTCTTCATTGTGTTCTACTACCTGTTGGTCGGTGTGATATCGTTATTGTGTACTACAACCATTGGGTTGGTGCAATATCTGGTCAAAAGTATTACTACCTGTGGGTTAGTGCAATATCTCGTCAACGATACTACTACCTGTGGGCATGTGTTATATCTCTACATTGTGTTTTCTACTTATGAGTCGGTGTTATACCTCTTCATTGTGTACTTCTACCGTTAGGTTGGTGCAATATCTCTTCAACGGTACTACTACCTGTGGGCAGGTGTTATATTATTCTGTATTACTACTTGTGGGTCGGTGTTATATATATTGGCATTGGTACTGCTACCACTGGGTCGGTGTAATATCTCTTCATTGTGTACACCTACCTGTTGGTCAATGTGTTATTCTGTCATTGTGTACTCTAACCTGTTGGTTGGTTTTGTATCTAATAATTGTGTATTAAAACTTGTGGGTTGATGGTATATCTTGTCATTGTGTACTATTACCTGTTGGTCAATGTAATATCGTTTAATTGTGTACTCCCACCTGTGGGTCGTTATCATTGTTTATTATATGACTATAAATTTTCTGTTTTCTCATTGGCTAAAAGCATAGGAAATCCCCTTTGATAAAGCATTATATTCACCGCGGCAAAAATCTCGAGAGGTTAATATAAGATTTAGAACAGCATCCGTGTACCTAAATATGGATATTCCAAGGAAACGTCAACGACTTAGGTTTATGATGTCATGTAAATTTCCGTTTTTTTTTCTTTTCTTCTTGTTTTCGGTGTATTTTTTCTCGTCTTCTTGTTTCGGTGTATTTGTTTAGTAAACCTCATTGAATATTTCAACTTATGAAAATTATCAACTGCAGAAGCAGCTGTTTAGATATTTAGTAAAAAAAACGAGAGCAGTTTTAAAAGTATCTTGAGCAAATACTAGAAAATTGGAGAAGGATAAAAAGTCATATAATAAAACAATTGTTGACTTTTGATTTCAGTTGATACAATGATTTATAAACCCCAGAGATATGACAATCACCCTCGGCCGTTGACCTCGGTACATTTAATATCTCTTGGGTTGATAAATCATTGTATCAACCTCATCAAAAGTCAATAATTGTATATTTTTACTACCTGTGGGTTGATGTTATGTCTTGTCATTATTTACTACCACCTGTGGGTTGGTGTTTAATCTTGTCATTATGTACTAATACGTGTTGGTTGGTGTTAAATCTCTCCATTGTGTAGTACTACCTGTATGTCAGTGTTATATCTTGTCATTGGGTATTAATACCTGTGGATTGATGTTAGTTTTGTCAATGTGTACTACTACCTGTTGGTCAATGTAACATCTTTTCATTGTGTACACCTTCCTGTGGGTCGGTGTTATGTCTTGTCATTATTTACTACTACCTGTTGGTTGGTGTTAAATCTCTACATTGTGTACTTCTACCTATATGTCGGTGTTATATCTTGTCTTTGGGTATTACTCGTGTGGATTGGTGTTAAATTTTGTCATTGTGTACTACTACCTGTTGGTCAATGTAATATCTTTTCATTGTGTATTCCTACAAGTGGGTCGGTGTTATATATTGTCAGTAGGTACTACTACCCGTGGGTCGGTGTTATACCTTGTCATTGTGTACTAATACCTGTGGGTTGATGTTGTCATGTCATTATTTACTACTTCATGTGAGTTGATGTTTAATCTATTCATTGTGTACTACTACCTGTGGGTCGCTGTTATATCTTGTCATTATGTACAACTACCTGTGGGTCAATGTAATATCTTTTCATTGTGTACTCCTACCTGTTGGTTGATGTTAAATCTCTTCATTGTGTACTACTACCTGTGGGCCAGTGTTATATTTGGTCATTGTGTACTGCTTCCTGTGAATCAGTGTAAAATCTTGTCATTGTGTACTACTACCTATATGTCGGTGTTATATCTTGTCATCGTGACCTACTACATGTGGTTTGATGTTAGATTTTGTCATGTGTACTACTTCCATTGGGTTGGTGTTTTATCTCTTCATTGTGTACTACTATCCCTAGATTTATGCTCTGTTTTTTATTGTCTTATTCTTCGCCTGAGGCGATGTTATATCTTGTCATTTTGTACTACAACTATTGGGTCGGTGTAACCACTCCTGACTTTTATGAAATCTGTCATACTTCATTATAATACTGGTATCTTCAATAAGTTTTTAGTGTGTATAATGTCCGATGTTAATGGTCAACTTTGCCTGAGGAAGTTTGAATCTTACTTTCTGACAAATTTCTAAATTTATCAACGGAAAATTTTAGAAAAATTGTGGCTTGATAATACCCTACGAAATTAACAGTCCACCAGCAGCGGAATTGTCGAAGTGGTAGAAAATGAGAATAACACTATATGAACTCACGATGGTTTTATTCACTTACAAGACAATATACTTTTCTGCAAGGTTAATTATAATCGCGTATACACCTTTTATATAGTTTAAACTGACGAATACTTTAATAAACACAAATCTTTTGTAATTATATTTTTAAAAATGATTTGTTAGAAATATTTTATTCTGGTTGATATATAATACATTGTTGTGTACTTCCCAAGTGAGACATTTAGTTACTTAGGCCGCATCGCAATAATGACCTGATGTTTTTAAAGCTAGCTTAAAAGGCGACGGTCCTGATGCATACCCACACATGTTCCTATATAATAATGAAAATACTTCGGTGTGTGTAGGTTCTTGATCTATGTTAAAAAAAAAGTGAAAATTGGTACCGTTAATGTTATTTTAAAAAAGGTACCGTTATCTTTATGGATTAGAAAATATAACAGAACCATCTTAGGCTATAGAAACATAGCATTTATCATTTCTCATTTACAGGGATTCGTTGTGACCTTGTTATTTTGCTTTCTGAATGGCGAGGTATGTTTTTACTTAAAATTGTATCAAATCTTCTTTCACAATTCAATTGTTTTCAAAAACATTATTTTTCAAATGAAACTATTGTATAAATTGTAATTCATCAACTGCTTTCTCTGCTTCTGTGAATACATATGCTATTTGTTTATGTACTAAAATTATGATCGTAAAAACAAAGTCTTAGTATCTAAATAGATTTATTCAATGCAAGATCTCAATTGTAAAACACTGACAAATCGTGACTGAACATATTGCACACAGATGTGTTGTTCATAAAACATATTCGTATTAATTATCGAATAAAAAACAGCAGCTAACATTTGAAATTCTACTATCATCATGGATATTAGTCATTTTGATTATCATTCCGCATTCATACAATGTTAATTGTTTATTTGAACAATTTATGAAAAGTTTAATATTGCAGGTGCAAACTGAAATAATAAAAACATGGAAAAGATTTAGACTCACGCATGGTCATGGTTCACTGAATGGACATCGAGATACAATGATGTCATATGTTTCACGTGGTAGAGGATCACTTGCCTCAAATTCAGTTTCAGAAGCTGAACAGCGAGACACAAGAAAATCGTCAGAATATGAGCTCAAACCATTAACTAATAAAAGTGTTCATTACGATCCAAATGAAAATCATAAAACAAACGGTCACGTAAATTGGCAGGAAGAAACTCAGCCAATGATTGAGCATCATTTAAGTAATTCAGAACATCATATTAACAGACCAAACGGTTGAAATATGTAATTTGTGTAGTTTATTGATTTATGTGTTCGGCAGCGAAAAATGATGTTGCGACAATATGCGACATTTGGGTATGACAATCAAGGTTCCTTGACTGAAATGAACCACAAACCCAGTGACGACTATACCGACAGATCGTATAACAATGCAGTCTTAATGAATATTGTAGAAATGTTAGTTTGGTATCAACAATTGAATGGAAGTAATCGTATTATAACCCCTTTCTAGGAGAGAGACTATATTGGAATCATCTTGTATGTCCGTCCGTTCGTCCAACAAATATTTTAGTCACACTTTTCTCATGTTTTACTGAACAAAATGACTTAATATTTGGTCAGCATCTTGACAGTCGTAAGGTTTAACGTTTGAGCTTACGGTCATCAAACTGTGCTCAGGACTCGGAAAACAAAATGTGTGATCAAAACATCAAATCTAGTAATTTGATTTCTGAATCTGGGCACGATAATCGTACTCAATATTTTATGACCGCAACTCCTGATCTGACACATATCTACTTCCTGATTGCCGAAACTTTCGATTTTTTTTAATATGTTAAATGGAATCAATAGTTTTTGTCACTCATTTCTCCACTACTGCTACATAGAATGACTTCGTATCAGCGACTCTTTTCACAAAAATTCTTACGACTAAAATTGATCGTAAGTTATACTGAAATGTGTATGACTTACGAGTATTTTTACTCTTAAGATTTTTTGTGAAAAGAGCCGCTGGTCTACATCTTGCCAGTGATTACTTGTAACGTGTAATCGCTTTTATGATCTGACATATACACTTCCTGTTTCCGATACTTTGAATGACGGGTGGGAGAATAATTACCACGACAACGCTGTCAACTTCTTCTTTATTTTTATCATCAGTTTTTCTAAAAACACCCGAATTAAATCTATCTTCATAAATTTTTGTTATCCAAAATTGTGATATTAAGGATTCTCTAAAACCGTTATTCTTGCGCTCAAGTGCTAGGTTTTGAATTGAGATTTCTATTTATTTTGATGTATATCGCAGTGAATTAACACTTTTTGTCGTGATCCGCATTCTGTGCACAATATTGGTACCATGTAATGTTGTTGACACATGGGGAACATTTCTCCGTAAATATTTAAAGTTTTCCATGTCTTGTTTATCGTCTAGCACCCGAATTAAATATATCTTCATATATTTTTGTTATCCAAAATTGTGATATTAAGGATTCTCTAAAACCGTTATTCTTGCGCTCAAGTGCTAGGTTTTGAATTGAGATTTCTATTTATTTTGATTTATATCGCAGTGAATTAACACTTTGTGTCGTGATCCGCATTCTGTGTATAATATTGGTACCATGTAATGTTGTTGACACATGGGGAAAATTTCTCCGTAAATATTTAAAGTTTTCCATGTCTTGTTTATCGTCTAGCAATGATCATTTTAAGCGAAAACCAGATACAAAAAAATATAAAATGCGTTGATTTTATTTTCATGTAACTATATATTATCGTATCATGAGGAATCATTTTGGCGATGTACAATAATTCAGTTAAGAAAAAAATATTAAATTCTAAAGATCACGAGAAATATTTTGAAATGATTTATTCGTGTAGATTTATACTAAACAATTATATAAATACTTAATTTATTATGAATCATGATAGTCACTTTGCGCAAATTGGAGTTTCTTTTTAAAAACTCAATTTTTATACCGTAATGTCCTTGACTAGTCTGAACAGTTTGGAATTCGGATAATTATACCCGAAATAAATAATAATAAAGTCACTTTTAGAATACGGATTGAAAATGTTCAATTTTAAGTAAATCCGGTTTCTTTGTTGTTAAAAAAACTAAAATCAAGACAAAACTGTGAAAACCCCTTATTCAATAGAGCTAATACCCTAAGGGATACATTTTTATATTTCCTTATTCATTGTATAGTGTTTTACTTGCATATCCTTTAATTTACATGTAGTTGATGTTAGAATATTCTATATGTCTTACGTTTTCCACGTTTTAAGTTTCTTTATTGAAGTTTTTTTAAGGAAATTTTTGAATTGAAAAAAACAATATTGAAAGATGCAGAAGTGTTTACTGCAACTTAAAACATTTCATGTTCCAAAACGATAACATACAAATTATAGTTTGACAAAATACAGAAATTTTATACATTTCTTTTATCATAAATTGACTGTCCTTTATATTGTAAATAAATCCATAAATTCACCAAAAAGCAAGTTTCATAATTTCAGCATGTTGATAGAGATGCAAATTAATACAAACATGATATGCATGTAATATAAAATGCACAAGTGTGATTATTTTTACCAAAGGTTAGGATTGAGGCTTAAAACTGAGCGAGTTGATTACACAAAAAGGCACTCTTCATCATAGCCTTTACTTTGAAGATTATTCCAAAATTGTCAAGTTCAGTAAACAGAGAATAAGTCATTATCCTAAACGTATGTCATGTCGTAAGATGCATAGTTACTATATATGTGTAAAAATGTGAGAAGTACGCAGGAAGAAAGCTTTAAAAGAAAGCATTAATTATGCAAAATAGGAAACCATTTTCGGTTCTCATTTCACGCCAGCCATTATACGATAACCCTGGACAATCAGGTAAGTATTTTATGATCACATTTCATGCTACCAACTTTTTAAATGACAATAACATTATTTATAGCGAACCTGTAAGCAGATTGTCTACCGACAAAAGAACTACAAATGTAACAATTAGAATAAAGGTCTTATATAGGTAACTGGCTGCCTACTGGCAGTCAACATTATCGTTTTGAATATGATTATATAGATACCTTTCCAAAATCAAACTACGAAGTTTCCTGGATCTCATCCTACAATCATCATTCCAGGATACTTTTATTGAAAGTGTAGCGTATCAGTCCTATTTTCATTTTGTGATATTGTTTTATTTTTTTATTTGTATTTATGTACTGGTATACACTGTTTTGAATTTAGAAACTAAATACATTTTGAATGAATAATTGTGTATTTTACTGTTTCGTTGATTACCAAAAAAATGAATATCAAACCAAATAGAAATGAACCGATGCTGGGTATTGCATTACACACTTTGCATCAATTAAAGTTTCTCAGTCAAGGGCATCCTTGAAACAGTTATTTGTAGCACACTTGGCCTTTTTTCTCAAAACTTGCCGTCCATCGTTTATCGTCCGTCGTCGTCGTCCGTTAGCTTTAACACTACTTGACCAAATCTAACCAAACTTGGCTTAGTTTAAACATATTTTATATATTCAAAGTAAAATGGATTGGACACAAGCAAACCAAAATTATGAAGTCCACTCCGCATTACTATATCTAACAATACAATGTTAATATGAGCATGCAGTATTTCTTATACGAATATCTTAATAATAGTATATTATAGGCTCCAAAGTCACACATTTTGGAGATGTTTCCTAAATTCGGTAATTTTGTGCATTTTCCGAACATTAAAGCTTTAAGTAAACCTTGGCCGCAACCTACGATCCAAAATGTTCTGTACCAAAACGTGCCATGATTTTTATTGAATTCCTAGACACAAAAAATTGCTGGATCAGGGATGACGGCCAAAGTAAATTAGCTAAAAACGGTTATAAAATTAGATGTTACAACACAAATAATGCACATTTAACATGATCGTAACTTATAATTTTGTGGTGCCAAAAAGAAGTTATTATGTATTAATACTAATATCACAACTATTTTGATGTGAAATTAGAAACATTTAGCCTGAAAAAAAACTTTTTATCTATTTTAGCCTTTCGTGAACCTAGTCCTTAAGTGATAACCAAAATAAAATAAATGATATCACTACGAACAAGAAAATTACTGTTACAGTGAATACTACAAAAAAAGAAATAGAAAAACATTAGTGTATGACGTTCTTATTTACTGAGTTGGACTACAACAGTACGGGAATAATGTACTTGAGCAACATGTAAATTCAGTCGTGGTTGTATCTAACGCATCATCACTGGGTTTACAATCATCCTTCTTACTGACACATATTCTTTCTGATCCAGGCTGCTCGCACTTTGTATTTACATCTGAAATGACATTTTTACGAAAAGAGATTTGACCAACTTGTAGTATCGAAATATTTTATTAAAAGAATATGTTAACATATTAAGAGTTCTTCAGCGCAAATAATAGTATTTATGATGAAAATTCTTATACACAATTAAAAGTTTACCAAGGTTACATCGAAAGACACATGGAACCAAAATGAATTCGTTTGTATCCGAAAATTTATACATAGCTTTGCTTTCGATTAAAGATTGATTTTGATTAGATGATGGAAGTGTTTAACGACCTTGACTGGCTTTACAGTCCTCGCATGGTCGTCTCGGGGCCCGAAGGCGATTGGTGAGCGTTTAAATATTTTCATGCGTGACGATGGAAAGTTGGAAAGGACAGCCGCAATTTTGGTTTTGGTAAGATCTTTTTGGTTTGTTGACTATTTTGTTGTTGTTTACTGCCTTCACAATGGCTGCTTTCAGGGCCAGGTTGGTCAGCTTGGCAGCCCACTAACCACGATGATGAAGTACTGGTGGATGAGTCTCGGACATAGTATTGACGATGACAGGAAGCTTTATCAGGACCAAAGTCGTAAGACAGTGAAATGGCGGTCCATTATCCAACACATACGATACAGACCCTCGGACGTCAGTCGGCATAATATGTCCCCCATAATAATGGGTGTTACGGACCATATGCTAACGCGGGTATTTACGCGAAACTTCAAGTTGATCCATCAATCAGTAAACCAAAATCGAAGATAGCGGATAAAGAGGAGCTGACCCAGCACGTCCTTTCAGCTGTAAGGGTTGATTGATGAATGATTTTTTTTTTATTAGGAAAACCTTTCCTTACTCCTATTGTTTAACATACGTGAAGATACACAATATTTGCTAATTTCTATCAAATTGCTGTTCCAAGACACCCATACAATTTTATGTAGCTATAAAACAATGTGTTAGTATCTATAATTATAAACACACTTCGAGATGTGACAGTTTGAATCTGAGTAAAGACTTTTTGTTTTAATATTAGCCTTGTGGTGAAATATATCGATGATATTGATCCTACAATGTATCTCGTTCTATGACGGTTGCTTATAAATGTCGTTGTTCATGCGGAAAAATATATTGTAGATATTGTGATTAATGATCTGTGGTCTCTACTTTTTGACAAATCAATAGTTAGGGAGCTACCATTTGATTTTAATGGGGGGTGAGGGGGGGGGGGGGCTAGGATGAAAAATTGTCATCTTGCCTTTTTTTTTTTGCCAAGTTGCTCATCCTGCCTTTTTTTTTACTCAAAACTCCTGTCCTGTCTTTTTTCAAATTTCATCCTAGCCCCCCCCCCCCCCTCCCCATAAAAATGAAATGGTAGCTCCCTTAGAAGCATGTTATGAATGTGTGTGTACTTTATCATATACATTTACTATCGTCGTATTTCTGTAAGAATACTTTTTTTTTCGATCCTCGAGATACAATATTTGCTTGTTTACAAATTTTATATCTTTCTCTGTATAAATATCAAAACGATTTGGAAATCGGAAAATCGCTGCAGGAAATCGAGTTATTCCATATTGATATTATTTGAGTAGGTTTTCCAATACGAATTGGATTTTGAATAAAACAACATATATTATTCGAAAAGTGATATTCATCACGCTAAACGTCACGTGCTTTTACATATAAAGTTATGGTAAAATATTTGATGTACCATTGGTTTTGGTAAATAAAAGACGTATTTCGAATTCAATCGCTTTCCCGTAAATTTCATATATCACAATGCTTATGTTATTACGTCACAGTAAGAACCAAATTTTCGATGACGTTGTTTAACCTGTTGTAACGCATTCATAAACACAACTCGAGATTGGTGTATTGTCATTTATTTGTATCTCTCAGAAAATGAAATCGCACAATTACTGTCTTTTGTTTCAGTAAATACATGTATGTGGTTTAATTGAGTTTTGGAAAAAAAGAATTGATATTCACACATTTACCTCATCAAAAAAACAGTAATGTATGCTAGAATAATATGACTATAAAAAAAAATTCTCATTGGATAAAAACGTAGAGAATCTCCTTTAATAAAACGTTATTCAACGCGGGAAAAATCACGAGAGGTTAAAATAAGATTTGGCATAGCTAATGTGTACCTATAAATAGTTTTTTTCCTAGGCAACGCCAATAACGTAGGCTTGTTACACCATGCAAATTCTCATTTTTCTTCTTTTTTTTTCGATTTATTATTTTTTTTAATCACATTGAAAATTTCATTCAATTTAGCAACTATCAAAGCAGATAATATATTCAGTATGAAAGGAGCAGTTAACTATATCATGAGCAAATATTAGGAATTGGAGATGGATACAAAAGTAATATAATAAAACAATTGTTGACTTTTGATATCAGTTGATACAATGATTTAAATAGCAACCCCATAGATAAGACATTCACCATCGGTCGTTAGCCTCGGTGAATATCATATCTCAGGGTTGATAAATTATTTTATTACATCGGTTGCAATGAATTACCGTGATTTCCCAGTGAAATACAAACCGTTAATTTCACATGTGAAATAAACACGGTTATTTCACTACTCTGACGTCATACAACAATAGGTGTTGTCAAGACGCATCAAAGCAAATTGTGAATGCGTTGAAAAAGATATAGTTCCTTACATTTTCTACTTTAATTCCATTAAAAAGCCCATTGTCAATGTAATAAAAAGAATAACTAATCAAAGAATTCAAATATCGAAAACTATTCAACTCGTGACCAAACAACACTGATAATTACTTTTGAAAATTGATATTCACTTCGAACGTTGGCCTCAGTGAATATCCGTTTTTCAAAAGTAAACAAAACCACATATTTACCTCATCAAAAGACAGTTTATTATTTCTAAATAAAAAAAAAACTCGGTATACTCACTAGAGCATGTTTCGATGCAACATACGTTTTTACCACAACATTTTCCGTCAGGTAGTGGTACATTATCACCACTACAAGATCTTCTACACTTTCCTCCCATTCTTCGGCAATTCGGACGCTTTGATTCTAAAATGCAAAAAACAACAGAAGGAAATGAAAATAGCACTTAATAAATTGTTTCCAAGCCTTCATCAGGAACGCTCAAAGTAAAAACAATACAAAAACTTAAGCAAAGAAGACATATCAAATTACTGTCAAAGTCACAATTATTTTTTAATATACAAGTGGCTACAGTAAAATGCATGTTGTTGATATTCAATATAGTAATGGTCATTAATAAACAATTGTTTAGCAGAAATACAGTTATACATTGCAAACAAAATATCATTTTTGTCAGCTAAATTTTTTTTCTTGACCAAAAAAATGACATGGAAAATGTACCAAGGATTCGAGTTCATTTGCAGAATTTCTAACTTAAGATTTGTGATAAAGGTAATTTATTCAGAACATCATGAAAGAATTACACAACTGACAGTTATGGACAATTATGTAATAAAACAAAACTGAATAAATGACAATTGCAAAGGTGAGGAATAAATACCGCCACCCATCATTAAACAAATTACAAAATATAAACGAACACATTTTATACAATCAACAGTAGATATTATATGATAATAAAAATATACTAATTAAGTAATCAGGGTGTAGAAGGGAGGGAAATTGAAAATCTTTACTTTTCTGGCAAAACAAAAATAGTGTCTGGTAGCATTCAGTGCAATTGCGAGAATGCGGGCGCAACTAGACGCTTGTGAAGAGTAAGCATGCACTTTATCCTCTTTGGTCAATTAAAATATTTATAGCCAATGATATTTAATATTGACCCTGATCATGCCATGACCATGCTGACCTTGACTGGCCGTAATCAAAAACTTGCATTATTCCTAGACAAAGCCCAAGGAAATTTCCGGTTTCATATTACAACATTGATGAGAAACAAAACCTATACAAGTTGTAACTGTATAAAAATTTCCTGCAAAAAATGATTTCATTACCACAAAAATGATTTTTTTGTCAGCTAAAATTTTCTTCTTTACCTAAAAACAAATGACATGGAAATTGTACCAAGGATTCGAGTTCATTTGCAGAATATCTAACTCAAGCTTTGTGATAAAGGTCATTTATTCAGGATATCATAAAAGAGGTAAGAGGTAAGAATGCAATCAGGGAAAATGCTGTAACATTTTTCCACCTTCATTGCTGGAAATTTTTCACTTAATCTTGGGATCAGTATTTTTTCTAATAATTTACTGGTCCAAAACCCCTCACTTTATGTAATTTTTCTACCACATACTTTTTTTTTATTTCTGTCAAAGCTATAAATTGTGTGTAGTATTATAGTTTAAAATCAATGTATTTTTTTTAAACTGAATGTAATAATTGGCAATTTCCCTTGCATTATCCATGATTTCTAGATCATTATAAAAAAAAACAAATTGGAATATTTCGATTAAATAAAGATTTACCAAGACAGACATACATTCTGTAATACTTTCTCTCACTGTTTAGGTCATGAATCTTGACAGGTGCCCTCATTCCAATGATTATAATTATAATTTCCAAGACAATTTTCATATTTACACATTTTCTATCGCATACGGATAAATTATTGGATATTATGCACAAGAAACAATGTTTCCCTTACTAAAATTGAGCGAAATGCTTATTTTCACTCGTTTCTGATCAGCCGTTTCTTGGACGACTTTTCATTCGATTTATCTCCCTTTGGTCGGTCACTAATTTTGGACCAGTTGAATCTGGGAACAGTATGTCAATATATATGTTCCTGGTTGAATTGACACACGAATTGACACACGGCTGGTTCACCTGGCGAGTTTTGGTAGCAAAAGACATTTCATGTTCATAACATCAGAAAGTATCATCCCTCTTAAGGAAAATACGTTACCATTCCGTGTGTCATTTCAATTTACATTTATTTACTGAGTAGTGTCACGGCCGCGTCACGTTTTTTTCATCTTTGCCAATAAATAATCAAGGAAATTCTACATTTTCATTCTTAAAAGAATAACGTTATGAAAGTTTGAAACCTGGCGTATCAAATGATATATTTGTTTTAGCATGGTAAATACTTAAAATATCTTTACGCCGTCGATTTCGTCCATTGCCGTTGCTAAAAAATGTCATTTTTTTTAACTGAAAATCACGTGACCAGAATAATAAAATCGACGCCATTATGAGATTTGCTGTCCGGCTGTAATCGTAAAGCGACGAAATGTGCGCATATTTTTGACTAAAAAAAATCGGAAAACTTGAAAATGAAAAATTGGTTGTTAAATCAATCAAAAAGTACCATCCAGAAAACTATTCACTTCACGAATTCTCCGCTTTCTAAACTTTTTCCAGTAGCCCTACGATCCAAATTTTTTTTCTAATTTTTTTTTTATTGTTTTCGGGTTAGTTAATTTGCATTCTATTGAACAAATTATATATAACTATCTAGAGTTTGTTAAGTGTTACCTGATAGAACTGCAGATATTACAAGGACCAGCAATATATACTGTTTACCACACATATTTCGGACTTTCGGACTACAATTTCTACAAGAAATGAAAAATGTTGGAAGTACAGACGTGTAAATATACTGATATTGAAAAATTGGAAATCGATACGTGTAGTCCGTTTTAGCTGAAATCGATGTGTGTGGTCTGTTTTAGCTGAAATCGATGTGTGTGGTCTGTTTTAGCAGAAATCGATGTGTGTGGTCTGTATTAGCTAAAACCATCACGTGAAAAGAAACTCGTCATCTCCCACTTCAAGTACAGAACCTAGATACTGTTATAATTGATTGATAAAGCGCATGTGACATTTTCTCAAAGAAACAATAAAATATCTAACCTATTTACAATTTCACATTGTGTTGAGATATTTAAGTGTTGTCGTTGTCGATGATATTGAATTGATTTTGTTTTTGGAGATTTGATACATAACAGCAAGTTTTGCTGTCCGATTGTTGATACATGTATCTATGATCCTATATCGTGTTGATACTTAAAGTTTGGTATATAATGAACGTATGATTATTTCAGACTGCTTACAATTAATCCGTTCGATGTGTACTGATTGATACTTTACTGAGGTAAACCATTGTTCAGCCCATTCACATTCTTTGTTTACCTGTCCCAGTCCATGAACCTTTGGTCCAGGGATTGTCGTTTGCCGGCGTGTGTCATATTTTAAATCGTTTAAAGGTTTTAGTGTAAATCGTAAATCGTGAGTTTTTATTGCTCGTTTTCGCTAACTTCAACGGTTTTTAGATAGCTTGTTTACACCATTGTTCTTTGGTCTATTTGATGACATGTGTCTGATTGGAAATCATGTCATATCTGCTTTTTAATATGGCTTACTACTTTTCACCTAATCTAATTGTTAAAATAATAAATTGTATGTACACATGGTACATGGAATATTAATATGTATGTGTCATGGCATGAAGTACTTACTGACTTTTAACACATTTAAAACATATGTTTCAGGTATCGATTCAATGGTTAATTGTACACATGTACAAGTAGGCCAGTAATAAATATGTTTTTAACTTCTTAGAACTTAATCTAGAACATGTATCTGTGTATACAAGAGAAATTCTTTCTTTAGATTATTTGATCTAGCAACTCTTTCAGACAAAAACAAGTTCGACACGAGGCCTTAAACTAAACGTTCAACTTCCAACTTGTGACTGTAACAACCCAAATAGTCAAACATACACCACTTGACATATTTTACAATCCGACTACGCTGGTTTATGTAATTTATCAAATACTTATCCAAAAGTATACAGTGATTCAAAATTAAATTTTTCTGACATGAATACAGTAAAGAAACATCTGACAAAACTTTCTCAGACATGAATACAGTAAACTAACATCTGACAAAACTTTCTCAGAATACAGTAAACCAAGATCTGACAAAACTCTCTCAGACATGAATACAGAACATCGACATCTGACATGAATACAGTAAACAGACATATGTAAAACTCTCTCAGACATGAATACAGTAAACCAATATCTGACATGAATACAGTAAACCACTATCTGACATGAATACAGTAAACCACTATCTGACATGAATACAGTAAACCAACATCTGAAAAATATCTATGAAACACATTCATTTCAGGATATTCATAATATTTATGTTCGACAGATTCAACCAATCCACATTTTGATTATAAACGATAGGTATGAGACGATGTTCAATGAAGTTTCTTGTACCGAAAATAAAAATTTCATACATAAAAACCAGGAATTACCAAAAATATTGGACAGTAAAACAGCCCGAAACAACCGCCAATTCCCGAATTCTCCTATAATATAGACTTAGAAATAGAAACAATCAACAACAAACAAACCAGTTTGAAAATAGCCTGACTTGGTACTGGCTCAAACGTGATGGGATTAAACCAGGCAACGTGCCTACTGTACAACCTCCCTCTTTTGCCTATCTAGACAATATTTTGTAAAAGTTTAACACATAAAAAACAAAAACAAAAAAAAACACAAATAGACAAGTTTTCAATAAGTTAACCACTAACTAAAAGAAGGACACAAACATTTCAAAAATCGGTGTCAAAATGTACTCGCTACTAGATGAAGCTAGCTAAAATAACTGTTTGGATACTGCCGCCCATAAATACAAGGAAACACAAAAACAAAAAAATCAGAAATCACACTCCTAACAGGAATTCATTCTATGTCACGTCTACTGTAGATTGTATTTTTTGCTGAATTGGGTGTAAATTGCTTAAGAGACCTGTTTCCTACGGAAATCTGATTTAGATCAGAAGTATTTCATCTACACAATCCTTAATACTGCCAGAGACATATATGTAATCGATTGAATTATATGTCTCTGATACTGCTGATATACAAAAAGAGAGGCGAAAGATACCAGAGGGACAGTCAAACTCACAAATGGTGTCTTATTTAAAGCCCATAATATGTGAAGGACTGTCAGATCATTACAAGTCTCAATTATGTTTAATTTTGGTTTATATATATTTAGACTGGGGGAACATATTCTGATAATATGCCATAAATTCAGTTCGATATATCTAGGGATTTTGAAACAGCAACTTTTTGAAGGACAGGTGTCTCATATTTTAAATGTCAAAATATAGACCTAAAAGTCTGAATTTTATTGCTTAGTTATCATCTCTGTTAAATTTATTCCTACCAACCAGGACAGCTTCGGTTTAAAAAAAGGTTAGGTTTCTATCAAGAACATGATTGATATCTCTTCAAAAGTCTTTGAGAGTATTTAACGCTTTCATCAGAACCTTCACATCAACAAGAAAAAGGTTATTCATCAGCTGATTGTTAGATCTTTATTTTCAATGTTTCCCATACTTATATCGGATATCTGTGTGCTATTTATCTGTTTATATGACATATTAGTATGTTAATCGTAAGAATTTCCATTGACAAAAGAAATCAAAGTACTGAAGTACTGAACATCGGATGACCGCAGGTTCTTGTGGAGGGTCAAAAGCACATGTCACAGAAATAGATCACATCTCTATACCTGAAACTGAGGTTAATTTACAGAGATATATTTTTTTCTGATACAAGTTCGTGCATGGATGATGAATAAATGACAGGAAATTCAACCGCACCGTAATAACTATATTATATTGTAGTGATACAAATCAGTATACCTGGGACTATTATACTAATATGATAATAGTGTCAGAGTATACACGTCTGGTTTGTTGTTATATATTATATTAATATTACGGTTGCATGTATATATAATTTTCATCTATTTATATATCATTCTATTCTACTATTCTAATTATAGTGCAGTGCAAGTGCATGGTGGACACTCTTCTGTAAAAAAATCGATTTTTCTAAAAGATTGGATATGAGAAGCCATTCATATTTTCCCGCAAAACAATAACAGAGTTATCGGTCCTTGCCGGGAGTGTCGCAAAACGTTCTTGAGATATTCTTCCGTAAGCTTTAACACAATTTTTCGGTACGTGTGCATTTATATCATCAATGATTTTTTACTTTTATATATATATAACTAACGACAACACATTTTCATATTATTAATTTGTGTTTTAATAAAAATATTTATAGGAGTATCCATTGAAAAAATGAATTTGAAACAAGCGATAAGTAATGTTATTTTGCACTAGATAAGTGACCGCGGATCTATAATTTTTATAGATCGGTTGAAAACCCAAAACTAATTTGCATAATGGATATTTAGGCGATAGCAATACATCGATATGACCTCACGGTCATCGCGATGTAAAAAGAAAATGGAGGGAGAGAACATCCTTGACGAACACCTCGTATATCAAATGCAGGGGACTCAACCCATTATTCACAACCAAGCTCGAAATGTTGACATATAATATTATAATATCAACTTCCCAAAATACTTCATCAAAATTAAACGAAAATGAAGTTTTTTTGTTAAAGAAAAATTCAATCTACAGTGTCAAAAATTTTTTCTCGAAATTTACCAAGGTAAGATTGGGATTATCTCACTAGTTAGTCATATAAAATGTTTGTAAATACATATTGATACTAAAAATGAAAAATTCGAAATCGATATATGTGCTGTTTTTGAGCTTGAATCTCCACGAGCGAGCCAAGAAATACATCTGATACAACTAAATATACCTTTTCTCGGTAATGTTATAATTGATGAATAAAGAAAGCATACAATTTTAAACATTTGGAATAAAAATGTATCCTACCTGTGTTAGTTACGGTGAAGCAAATGAAGATGTTACAGTTACTAATAGTATGTACACCTGTTGCTACATTAAATTATATTTTTTTTGCGTGATATTAAGTACAGATTTACACGTTTAAAACATGTTTCATTTATCGATTACGATTGTTTATAGAAATCTAGTTTGTCAAACCATAAATCATTGCTAAATTAAAAAAACCTAATCGTTAACCTTCATTTTTGTTCATAAATGTCAAAAACATTTTGCACTAGCTTACTTGATCGGGGTTATTTAAGACGGAAAGATCCTGACACTTTGCCAATACGCGGCATCGGATTCAACGTTCAAATTCAGACCAGATATATGACTGCGAAGATATAAATTGGCACATTTAAACAGACAACACTTAGCATTGACGACAGAAGTCCAGATGACCATATTTCTATATTCCAATCATTCTTGTGATTTTAAAGCCTTTTGTATTAGTTGTATCATTTTGACAAGGTTAATTATGACAGGAAAGATCATCATATTCATCCATCCGGACATTGTTCGATTTTCAGAAAGAATTCATTGATTGTCAAATCATTTAATTCAATTTTAAATTTTCATGTTGAATATAAATATAGATTAGGTTAAGTTCAATGCCAAACCAAAGACCATCCCTGGAATAGATATAAAGTATATAACTTAAAAACCTCCTCATATGGACTTCATAATAGTAAAATACGATTTACAAAAACAACAAATTCTATCGGACAATTGCATCCTTCGCATGAATGTCAGAAAGTGGCAAATAGATCTCGATAGATGACACAACTTAATCAATCGAATTCCAGTAGTCACTGCCAATCGCATGCCTTGATGTTAGAGAGTGAAAAACTACAGGTGGTGTAGTGGAAACAGTTAAATGTCAAATGTGAGCACATACTACATAGGAGGAACATCGGTCACACGAGTTTTAGAGAGAACAGCATATAGAACGTATCGATTATATGACACTGTGCTTTCTTTTTTTTACTAGGAGTGTTCCTACACAACAAACAAGCGAGACAACAGCAGTCAATGTAGCCTCATCTCATTGTTTCGACTACCTAGGGCTGTCGTTGTCGAGAGGAAACTATGTCATAAATATTCTGTTACGGATACAGCAAGAACTGACCAATAATCAATTATAGTACTTATAATTATTTGACCACTTTAAACATTTGATACATTTACAAATTGCATTACTATTTAAATCATTCACCAACAACTCTAGATCTCTTCCTGTTTTTTTTTTCTCTCTCTCAATATTTTTATCAATCGAGATTAATGCCTGTACCAAGTCAAGAAATTGACAGTTGTTTTCCATTCGTTTGATGTGTTTGAGCTTTTTATTTTTCCATTTGATAAAGGACTTTCCGTTTTGAATTTTCCTTGGAGTTCGGTATTTTTGTTATTTTACGTTTTTTCTTTAATCGACACATTACAATACACCATCGTATCAAGTAATGTGCTTATTAGATTAGGCAAAAACTATAGTCTGTAATCAGTGCGCGAACTGGTGACAAAATATTACCTCCCCTGTAAACAGTGCGCTCTTCTGACTAGAGGCGATCGGTAAAGAAAAACGGATGATGCTGTAATTGTTTTGCTTGTTTGAAATGAGTTAGCACAGATTAACTAAGACGTGTCAACCTAATGTGAATATGATAATGAATCAGGTAAATTATTAATTGTTAAGTTTATCACCTCATCGTATCTTCATATGATAGGTAAATGCATGAATTTTCGATTTTCAGTGTCGTCATGGTTCAAACTTGTAATCATACCATCCTTTCATTATTTTTTTTAATACTATCCAATGGTTGGAACACCTTGATTTTCTCTTAATTTGTAAAGTTGATTATGTTGCATGATATATATTTTTATCGGGGAAAAAAATTGATATGCAGCAAAGATTGGCAGTTTTTTTTATTTGTGTTTCTACGTGAAATAAAGGGAGGTAAAATAAACGTTAGAAGGCGCGCTTTTTCAAATAGTTAACAATTTAATTCAGATGCATGGTATTTTGTCAAATGATAAAGAATATTGTAGAAATTTACTAGAAATTCATCTAATTTATGCAATTTTCATTAAAGATATACAATATGACATACTGAAAGCCGAAAAGGGGTAAAACCACCATACCTTGAACAAATTAGGGGGGGTGGGGTGATGTCGGGTGAAAATATTACAAAATTTAGATTATTTTTATCTGTGGTAACAACCATTTGA